ATACTTGCGTCTTAGCCTTCCTGGGACATGGAACAATTACCCTGGTCCCCCTAGTGCTGGGAAGCCCGTCCCTAATCTCTAGAGGGTGTGGCTTCCAAGAAATCCTTACAATGGTTTTCAACAGCCCTCTCTAGAGTAGGAAAGGCTGTTTTGGGAACAGAGTCAATAGAATATGCTCAGTAGCAAGAAGACCTTGTTAATGCCTGACGTTACTAGAGGCCTGACATATTGCTAAGAGCTTCACATAAACTGTCTTTAAGTCTTCAAAAAATCCCAAGGCAGATATATTTTTTAATCCTCATTTTATATACGAAGAAAGGGTCTCAGAGAGGTTAAGTAATCGCCCAAGGCCACACAGCAGGGAGAGTCCACGTTGATCTCTGGCTCCAAGCCCTCCATCTTAACCACCAGGCAGCGAGTGCGTCTCCAAAGGTTCAGTCTGCCCCGACTGCAGTCCGACAGGACTCTGTTCATCTCTTCTTGTGATCTGCGCTGTCCCCCGATGACAGCTGTCTGTGGTTCCACCCCTCAGAGTACACGGTGACCACGAAGGCCCCACGGGTGTCCTAAGCACACAGTTGGCATTCATAAAAACACTGAATGAAGGAACAATCCCATGGTTCTTTGCTCAAACTCCCTTGGGGCCAGCTCAATCCAGAACAGTTCCTGATAGAGCCCCACCATGTTAAGCAGAGCAGCTCTGAAGCTGATGTTGTTTCTGAGCACTATGTGACAGCTGGGTGCTTTCCCACAGAGCGCTTCACTAAGGATCACGACCCTTCTGAGGGAGGTACGATTCCCACCAGAGTGCTGGAACTTGCCCGCTCTCACACATCGTGTAAGGTGCAGGGGTAGAATTTGAACCCAGGTCTGTGCAGCCAGGCTGTGTCTTACGCTGCTGACCAGCCAATGCCGATCAACAGCTGGACCTAGCGGTTGGTGTAGATGACGGTGTTAGGCAGGCCAGCAGTGTTTGGGTGGGGGCTGATTTCATGAGCAGGCATTTTAGGAGTCAGAGTGTTAGTGTTTGATGCCTTTGACATCCTTAGGCAAATGCATCACTATGAAAACTTAGACAAGTATGATCAGATTATCAAGGACCCCTCCCAAGGATTTTGTGAAGAATCAATGAGATCAAGGAGCACTCAGAGCCTAGCATGTGTTAAGCACTCAGTAAATGTTACTTGCTATCGTGGTTATGATGATTCCGTCCTCTCAGAGAACCTCACAACTGAAGTGGGGATCAAATGAGAGAATGAGCGTGGGGTCCTTTTGCGGACTGAGAAGCACGAATGGATGAGCTGTTAGCACACAGTGCTCTGGGGCCAGAAAGCACACCCAGATGGGCCCTCCCCGCCCAGCCCAACAGACCTCGGACAAGCCCTCCCCTCTCTGAAGCGCAAGGTCCCTAGCAGTTAAGATGAGAGAAACAGAGGGTCTCGGCTGCTTCCGAAACGCCTATCGGTTTCCCAGGATGATTCATGCTTTTAGGGACCCAAGACCCAAGCAAACTGGACCTGCCTATGTCCCAGTGCAAAGAGAAACAGCCCCTTGGACGGGTCCCCAGGAAACCCAAGGCCTCTGCAGAGCTCCAGTTCTTCCACCACGGCCTGATGGGCTGGACCACTGACGCAGTGGCACTCTCCTTCTGAGGAGCCTTCACGCGACAGATCCTCTCCAGGCTGAGCAGGAGGGCGTCAAAACACACACACACAAGAGTTGCCAAGCCAGACAACATTTCAAATGTCAATTTATTTTAATTAAATACAAACAAGGAATAAAGGCACCATGGCCCATTCAAGTATTTTGCATAGATGTACAAATATTGTAAACAATTAATAGGCGGACGAGAGAGAAGAGGATCTGCTTTCCATGAAGAATTTCCCAAATGAAAGAAAATTCACATTGCCCTGGATCCCAATTACATACACAGTGGATGGTGGGAGGGGCGTGGGGGAGGGTAACTTGGGGGGTGCTCAGCTTGGATTCTGCAGAACCCCTCTCAGCACCTTTCCAGTTGGCGTCCCCTTGGCTTTCTTGGTGTCCAGCAGAGCTGTTACTCGCTGACTTTAGAACTGGTCCCCAATTTAAATATGTAAGTCTTCCACCCCTCTGCCGCATAACAAATTGGGTAACGAATTATTATTAGTAACAAACATAGGTAAGGGGAGGCTTTATTCAAAAGGATTATGGCAAGGGATGGCGAGGGACAACTGCTGCAGCCCCGTGAGACCACGACCGTCCCCGCCCTGGGGCAGAAAGGGGCTTTTCTGGGAGGGGAGGAGTGAACGAGGCCACAAGAACCCAGGGTGAGCAGGTAAGTGCTAACTGGGAGCAAGATGCCTGAGCTGAAGCTCCCACTGAGACAGGCAGCGAGCCAGGCGCTGTCTCCCTTGAGGTCCCCTTAGGTTTACATTTCAGAGATGGCTCCCAGGCTCTTAAGAAAAACATTTCCAGGGTTGTAAAACTGGCAGAGGGCTAACTTAGCTTTTAGGAAGATTTATGCGCATCTCCATCTGCACACAGGACTGGTTAACTCACTCCACCCAGCCTCTGGGAAGCTCCTCTGACTTGAGCCTGGACCCACCCCCAGCCGGAGCTGGCCTACAGGCCCTCCCCGCAGGGGCCGAGCACAGAGGCGGTCCCTGACTGTACTCACCCAGTTCACTCCTTCCCAGAAAAGCAAAGACCTCTTCTTCCAGAGCTTTGGGCTGCGGGCAGACCTCACAGCAGCTTGCTGAGCGGTGCCCCTACGGCAACATTCCCTGCAGTAATCCTTTCAAATAAAGCCCCTCCTTCCTTGGGTCCGGGTTTATCTTTGTCACCTCAGAGCAGCGCATGGGCACAGAGGGGCAAAGGGGCTCGTCGTGGCCAGTCGTGCTCCTGGGCAACCACCTCGGCCAGCCGAATGGCGGTGCCCGGCTCCCTGAACAGAGCCAGGAGTGCAGCGTTAAATAGCACCGGCTGCTGAAAGTCCCTCTAAATTTGAAATCTCAACCATCTTCCAGTTCACAGTAGTTTTATGGGATGGAGGTGGTATTAAAAGTAATGGAACACAGAAACAAAACAAGAAAGCAACAACCCAGCTGTCTTTCGGCTATGGGTCCAGGGAGAGCGGATTTCAGGCTCGCAAGGCTCCGGCAGCCACAGTAGCTGCGGCGCTTTCCTTTCCGAGCCTTCTGCCTCCTGACCTGAGGGAGGAAAGCCGGACCAGCCCCAGGAATGTCTGGGAGCCATGGGGGTACCTTTCAGGGTGACGATTCTTTTTTTGGCGGGGGGTTGTTTTCACCTTCACTTTTCTGGGACCCAACATCGAGGCCTGGGACAGTCGCAGGAGCACACGCTTCAATGGCAGGCTGTCCCCTGCCTCAGTCACCAGCAAGGAAGGTCGGGATCGAGGGCCCAAGTCAGGGAGACGGGGGCGTGAACATCATGACTCCCTGAGGGAAGAGAACCTCATATTCCTGAGCTCTTTCTAAAGCCGCCCCACGTGTGTCCCCGGGTGCAGATCCGAAATCTCCCACTTGTCTACAAACCCAAGAACATCAACTGAGCACCTGTTGTGTGTGGAGAACGGTAAGGGAGGTTGGGGGGTGGAAAGTGGAAGCTCAAGTCTCTTCCTTTCACTGAGGTTTTCAAGAGCCGCCCAGCACCTTTCTGGGGGTGGGAGACAGTGCCAGAGAACATTCCAGAGACAAGTTGTCTGGTTTAGCGGAGCACCACACAGCCCTCCTTCCCTGCTCCGGGGAGGGCGGGGCCCCCTAGAGTGGCGTCCCAGGCTGCTCGGAGTTCTCCTTCTGTGAGGGCAGGTAAGGGCAGTGACCAGAGGCGACACAGGGAAGGAGACCACAAAGAGCCTGGCTGGCCCCAGCTCAGACTCTGCTCCTTCAACACCGCTGACGCTGCTTCTCTAGGGACCTGCAGAGACAGGTGTGCTCTCTGCTCAGTAGCCAGACCCAGGGACGGGCTGGGGCTCCCGGGACGTCCGCTCCCTAGGTCATTGCACCTGTTGCCGTCCCTGGGGAACTTACTGAGATTTAGGCCAGGGAGTAGGGGGAGACCCTCCCCCTGCTGAGGTCACAAAACACCTTGAAAAATCACCAATGGAGGCAGGACCCTGACGTATAGGTCCCAAGCACCAGATCCCCAGAAAGTCAGGACTGCCGAGGGCCCGCTCTCCACGGCGCCCCACACTGGGGGGTCGGGTCGCGGAGGGAGAATTTAAAAGCACAGAGCACATGGAAAATGCAGGAGAGAAAACAAGGGCAGCCAAGGATCACAGAGTCAAGAGTCGACACCTTTGGCGTTAGGGCTCAGAGGAGGCCGGGTGCTCCCCCTGCTGTCTGCACTGCCTACAAATAGTACCTGTCTGAGTCAGTGACCCGTGTAAATACGGGGACGTGGGATTTGGGAGTGTGAGGAGGGGCTGGATCTGTTCGCATGGCTGCAGAGCCAAAAGCTGTGACCCAGTCAAGGCCTGGGCAGGGACACAGCCGTGGCTGGTCTGACCCCTCGGACTCTCAGAGCTACAAAGCATGGGTAAGTGCCCAGCCTCTGTCTAGCCCAGGACCTTCGAGGAGGACAGAAGCAATGGAAAGCTCTCATGCATACCCTCCAGCACAGGACAAGGAAGGGTGCTTTCTCCAAGCTAAGTCCCGGCCTGAGGGGCTGAAGGGGACTCCTCCCAGCTGGGCTCCTTGGCTCAGAGAGGCGGGCCATGGGCACCTCTGAGGTGAGGGGCCAGGTGAAGGGAAGCTGGAGGAGAAGCTGTCGTTCACCCTCTCCTGCATCTGGATGCCCTGCCTTTCAACCCCAGGCCTGTATATTGCACAAAACAACGCTTGGATGCTATTGGATAGTGGTCCCTCTGGGCCTCCATGGAGGCTGGGCGGAGGGGGGTGCTAAGTCAAGAAGGAGATTTTCAGAGATGCGTGGTTCCAGGAGGAGGGAAGAGGGGAGGGGAGAGGGGGCTCAGAGGCGGCCAGACAGGCTTCTTCCAGGTTGTTGTTCAGAGTCCTCAAGGAAAGGGAGCAGCCCCTTTGGCAGGTCTAGATTCTTGAGCTAGTCATCCCCCCAGCCCTGCGGGATCTGTAGTCAGGAAACTGTGGAAAGAGAGGGGAGGGAGAGAGGTGTCAGCTACCTGCTGATCACGGGATCACGGGGAGCCGTCCTCTGGGTCTTGACAGGTCAAATGGGTGACAGCTGGTCTTCAAGAGGGATGGTTTCTCATGGAAGTCTGTGACACGTCTGCTAGGCCATCAACCCCACATGGTGGTGTCCCCATCCCGAGCTGACCGACAAGCCATCCCCCTCCCTCCCCGCAAAGCTGCAGCTCAGGCCGCAGATCTCCCAGAGCCCGCTGGGAACACGGGGAGTAAGCCAGCTTCCGCGCCTCCCCTACGGCCGACTCCTAGGACGGCAGCCGGAGACCACATCAGCCCTGGGAAGAGGTCATAAGAGGAGTCATTTGTACACGTCCTATCACAGGCTGGTAGTTTATGTAAATTAACTGCCTTGACCTTCACAGCAACCTGGGGAGGTTGGCTTCGAGCTTCTCATTGCCTCTTTCCAGGAAAGGAAACAGACCTACGAGGGTGACTTGCTCAGGGCCACCCAGCTAGTCCATTGCAGATCCAGGTGCAAAGCTGTCATAGGTCATGTTTCTAAGTATCACCTTTCACATGGAACAAAAAAAAAAAAAACCATCACCTATTTAAGGGAGAGTCATACAGACACCAAGGAACACTAAGCTTTTGTCCTTGGCCTTTTTTCTTGGCTTAGCCCTACAACAAGAACATGAACTCGGAAGGTTTTCTCAACCACAGTCTTGTCCCCGGGAGCCCTCTGGCTTCGGCTTTTACCTCGCGGACTTCCGCAAACTCACCTTTGGGGCAGATGCTACCAGAGGCCGAGCGCGCTGAGAGACGGGGGCAGAGGGCAGCAGGACGGAGGTGCCGCCTGGCCGGGGCAGGTTCTTGCGGCCGGGCACCGGGTTAGCGGGGAGAGCCTTCTGGGGTGGCCGAGGCCTGGAGAGATCCTGGGGAGAAAGCCACAAGCCTTACTCAAAGCCCGAGGGGCCCGTTCAAAGGAAAATGTTCCCAATATAATTACAGACCAAAATCCGATGAGAAAGGGGATATACTATACTCTATGGTCCTGTTTAAAAAGGGATTGTGTGCATGTGTGTTTTAATGCTCAGGAAAAAGCCTTTTGGAAGGCAAATTGGCAAGTTGGAAGCCTCTATTAAAATTAGAAATAACCATTCCCTATCTCACATCTAATAATTCCACTCCCTATTACCCACGTCAGAGAACTACCTGCACAGGCACACCAAAGTAAAATAAGGACATGCCTTGCAGCACTGTCTGTGACAGCAAAAGAAACAATAAATAACCCTAATTCCCATCAAAGGCACATCACTGAGTTTGTCCAGAGACATGTGATGCAGAGGTTAGAGAGAATGAAGTAGTCGATGTGTGCTGATCTGGAAAGGGGACCGAGAGTCACGAAGCCGATGCACAAGCTACAGAGGACAGTAGACGTGAAACACACCCGCGGTCCCCAGTGTAAATACATCCGTACAGAGAAAGTCGGGAAGGGCACAGACCAAACTGGCAGCAGAGCTCGGGGATGGGGTGTGAGTGGGAGGGGGGTCGCCCAGGTGAACTTGGAATTTTTTCAGTAAGACCACGTGTGGGTGTTCCCTGTGGTTGGCTATGGCGGGGGCACAATGAACAGGAATTCTTTCCTCTCTGCTTTTATATCACCTTCTTATTTTATCACCTTCTCACCAAGACCTTCCCTGACCACCTTATTTAAAATGACAACACCTGCACCTGTGGTCGCCCCCAACCGACCGGCCACCCAGCGCCCTGGGGGGAAGGCTGACACGGTCCTCATTCAACAAGCCTCCAGTGTGAGTTTTTCAGGAACAACGGTCCGAACCGACCGCCCCTTGTCTCTCCTCCCGCGCTCTGTCCCCGACACACCCTGTCTTCCTGTGTCATGCTCTCCCCTCTTACTACCCTTCTCTCCTCTCCCTCTGTCACGGGCCCCCTCAACTTCATGTGTTGTAGCCCCAACCCCCAGCACCTCTGAACCGCGCTGTCTTTGGAGACTGGAGACATGGTTTAAAAAAGGTGGTTAAGTTAAAATGAGGCCCTAATCCAATCTGACTGGTGTCTTTAAAAGAGGAAATTTGGGCACACGGGGAGACCTGGGGGCACACATGCACAAGGAAGGGCCTTATAAGGACACAGAGAAGCCAAGGAGAAAGGTCTTGGATGAAACCACATCTACTGACACCTCGGTCTTGGATGTTCAGCTTCCAGACTGTGAGAAATAAACTTCCGTTGTCTAAGCCGCTCTGTGGTATTTGCTGAGGCTGCCTGAGCAGACGAGTGCCCTCCTGCCTTCTGGCCCTTCCCCCTTGCTCCCCCACCTCCCCTGTCTCTCTCAGCTTCTCCCCTCCCCTTCTGCACAGCTTCTCCCCCCACCCGTGCCCCAGACGGGAACACGGGAAAGCAGAGGCCTCACCTTAGCGGAGAACCAAGCCGGATGCTCTCAGCCCTGCCAAACTGTGACACTGCCTGCGCCCTGGGGGCCCTCTGAGCCCGGCTGCCAACACCGCAGCCCTAGGTTCAGAGACAGGCTGGGCTTCCAGGGAGGCCTCTGGACGGTGCCCAAGAAAAGCAGTCCCGGGAGGAAAATAAGCAAATCCCCTGCTCCCCCGTGGGGTCACACCCAAAATACACAGCTCGACTCGGGAAGGCAGCAGGTCCGGCCACCGCCCTGGAAACATCTGTGTGTGAGCTGCGGGAGCTCTGCCAGGAGGTATGGCTGAGCCATCAGAGCCCAGACACGCCGGGGGAGCAGGCGGCCGAGCACCGGGATGCGGACGGCCCGATCCCATGCCCGCTTCCCAGAGCCCCCTGCCCCTGACCGGCCCCACAGTGAGCCAGGCCTCGCAAGACGTCCTGCATCAGCCCTTCTGACTAGCGGAAAGCTCCGATAGGTACACTTTAGGAGGTAATTCCTAAGACGAGAGAACTATGAGGCCACCAAACTCAGCCTCGGGGGTCAGAGAAGGCTCCTTGGGAGACAAGGCATCTAAGAGGAGATCTGAGCATGAAGGGGAGCTCGGTATTCAGAAGGAAGAAAGTGTATCAGGCAGAAGCAACAGCATTTGTGAAGACCTAGAGAAAAAGACCACAGGGAACTGAATGCAGCTAATTTTGGATGGAAGGTGGTAGTGGCTTGTCATAAAATAGGCCAACCAGGGAGGAAATCCTCCCTGGTTCAGGGGCTGCCTGGGGAGTGTATTTTCCCTTAGCCTTTGCCCTTACCCCATAGCTTCCAGAAGGCAGAAATGGCAGTCAGCTCAGACTCAGCGAGTTCCCTCCTTGGTCTCCTGTCATTGCCGGTGGCCTTAAAAGCAATGAACGCCCCCAGCCCAGGGTTGGTGAGAAGCCACTTACCTGGGAGAGGACACAGTTCGGTGGGGGGGGCATTGGCCGGCTTGGGGGGGGCCTCCTGGGTGACTCCTTCCTCTCTATTTGGGACGCGGCCCCAGGGGGGTTCCTAGGGGCCCGGATGAGGTGTGCTGGCAATGGCATGGGAGGGGACCCGCCATGCAGATAGTCCGGAGGGGGCCGTGGGGGAGGCTGAGGGGGCTTCCGCAGAGTTTCAGGGGTGTTGGTCACCTGTGTGCATAAGACAAGGAACATCTAAGGCAAAGGAACCCTCGATGCACTTGAGAACTCACGGGTGCCCCTGTGAGATGACCAGAGGCCGAGGGACAGCAAGGTGACTTGTTAAATCCCAGGGATCCCAGAGGTCAGATGCAACCTTTACATTCACTAGGGGATGTCAGAGCCAATTGGATGTTTTTGATGTCAATAAAGTGGCTTTTATTATCAATCTCAAGGGGCCACAGAGGCTCTTAAGAAAATCCAACAGGGTCTTGAGGATAAAGGAAAAGTAGCAAAGTTCGAGGGGCAAAGCCCTTACCTTTCGCTTGCCCTGGGGGGTCTGCAACTTGAACGTTGGGTTGGCATGGCCAGTTCCGCTGTTCTGAGATACCCTGAAGGGACAACTAACAACAAGGAATGGCGTAAGAAGGGAAGGGGGTTGACCATCGAGGGTCGGTGCCTGACTCCTCTGACCCAAGCACAGCTAGTAAACAGCTGAATCCTCCCCCCAATCTGCTCTGGAGAAAGTGGGATTGGTCTCCTGAACCCCAGCCTCCTGGGTGTGAAGAGAAGCGTGGCCAATGGAGAACTCCCAGGGAAAAGAGTGGGCTTTATACAAAGCAGGGTTTTCCTTGGCACCTTCTCTTCACCCTTTCAAGACCTTTCTCCCCCAAGGAGACAGTGGGATGTCATCAGCCACCAATTAATCCCCCTTAGGTATCGATTCACAAGGACCTGGGATTTAAAATCCCCTCCAGGGCGAGTGTAATTTAACAATAGGACTCAGAGACTAGACGTCTTCCCCATCCCAAGGAAGGAATAGCTTTAAAAAAAGAAAAGGTTTAGTCTTTGTCTTGAGTCGAAGTCCAGCCACTCCTGGAGTGCCTTGGGCTAGTCATTCTTTCCCTGTTGCCTCAGTTTCCAGCTCTTTAAAATGGGGAGCAAATCAATTAGATAAAGAGTGGGAAACAGATTTCTTCCACTTGAATTGGTTGGGGACATTCTGCTGAGAAGGACTCTGAAGTGGAGGCCAGGCTCAGTAGAGGACCCTTCCAGCAAAGTCAGTGAGCACTGTCTGCCATGGCCTTGGAGCACAGCCAGGGGGCGGGAGGTGGTGTGTGCGCCCTGCACTGGCCTTCCCTTAATTAGACCCATCAGCAGCAGCTTTTCCACCCAGTCCTGCTCACAGGAAGCTCTGTGATCCACAGTGGACCCCAGGCCCTCCACGGAGCCCCATCCCACCTGAACTGTTGCCTCAGCTTGGAGGGAAGGGCGAAGGGCTTGAGGTGGCTCAGTTTGCTGTTCTGTTTGCAGCAGTGGTAGATCAGCACCAGGACCGCCAGCACGAAGATGGCCGAGAACACTCCGGCAAGCACAGGACCCACACCTTCCAGAGGCAGAACCCAAGAGGCTGAGAAGGGTCTGGGCCACCACAGCGGATTTTAAACAACATGTTCTGATTCATCTCCAGATACTGATTTGCATTTAATGTGTATTACTTATTTTAACTTAAAAATTATAATAAAAGTAATTGTTAAAAGGCTTGGACACCAAAGGGTTAAAAATCCTTACGATTTCCAATAAAAGCTGTGCATTTTTCTGAGTGGTTCACAATTTTAAGCTTTGTTCAAACCGGGGCGTCCAAACTGCTACCCACAACCTGTGGCCTACAGGCTGCATGCGACTCAGGACGGCTATGAAGCCGGTCCATCACAAAATCATAAAGTTACTTAAAACATTATGAGATGTTTTTGTGATTACTTGTCATAATGTATTTAATGTGCGGCCCAAGACAACTGTTCTTCTTCCAGTGTGGCCCAAAGATGCCCAAAGGTTGGCTACCCCTGAAAGGGAATCTAAACCATTATAATGTGCTCCAGGTTCATGATTACTTTTAAGTGGCTGAGGAGGACTGGTTGCCACCCCGCCCCACCCCGAGAAGGATGAGATCATTCAATATCCTACAGCCTGCCTCAGCTTCGCTCTAAGAGGACTCACTCTCCTCAGTAGAAACGACAGAGAAAGAGCAATGGAACTGAGCCCCAGGCGGCTGCCAGATGCAGCTGCTCCCCCCACCTGGCCCCTCTTTCTTTTGTTTCCCCCACCCCCCTGTACAAAATCTGGATAATGAAGCTGATTTGTTATCCCTCCGCAAGAGGCCGCCTGCTCCCACGGCGCCCACCCCTCCTCACAAAGGTGGGCAGAGGCCCCGAGCAGGCCGGGCACTCACCCTCCGGGGGCATGGGCCCGCTGTCGACGCTGCCCCCCTGGCCCGGCGTGTCGCAGAAGGGTGGCGCCCAGCCCGGGAAGCAGTGGCAGTTCTGGTTGTTGTTGCAGACCTGGAGGGAGGGCCGGGCGAGGCGTCAGCACCCTGGAGAGCGCCGGCCTCCCACAGGGCCCGCCCCGGGGACCCCAGCGCCGGGCCCCCAGGCCCTGGGCACACGTACCCCGCGGCCGTTGCACTTCTTCCCACAGCCTGCCGTTTCGAAGAAGGACGTGTTCCTGCACTGGCCCTCGAAGCAAATCTGCAGCGAGGAGGAAACCGGCCGTCAGCTCAGCCTAGGACACGCAGGACTCAAAAAGGCAGCCCCCTTCGGGTTGCCACGGTGAAAATGTGAAAACCGGAAAAGCCAAGGGCTGGACAGCAGTTAACCAACTTCCATGATTACTTTTGCGATTAGTGAGAAAACAACAAATATTATATTGTTAAATCACTATATCTGATGATAAATTTGTGTTATTATACCCTATAGTATTATATGTTGGTTATATGTCAGTCACTTAATTGTATATTATGTACAAATTAAATATTAAACTTCAAAACAATGATGATGGTGACAGCAGTCTACTCTGTGCCAAATACTGCGCCGGGCGCTTTGTGTGTGTCTGCGTTTTTTTAAGAATTTCATTCTCATAGGTAACTCCGAGATGGGTGCCCCTATCTTCCTCAAGCTTGCCTGGCTCCTGGTCTAGTCCATCTCTTAATTCATAAGATAATTAATGACAAGGACAAAAGTGACATGATAATGGCTAGCCCGGCGAGGCACAGAGATGCTGGGCAAGCTGGGCTTTGAGCCCAGGTGTCCTCCCTCTAGAGCTCACGCTTCTCAGTCACCGCCCTCTGCAGCCCAGCCCAAGTGAAGTGGCAGGAAGGGACTCACATGGTTGTGACCACACTTGGTTCCGGTCATCACCAGGCCAGGGTCCAGAATGTCACCCTCATCTCCGGGACTTCGATAGACGTGGGTGCCCCGACAACGGATGTGCCTCCCATTCATGATGATGGTGGTGTCGATGGACACCGCGTTGGACTCCAGCGGCTGGGCCTCAGAACTCTGACACTGGATCTTCCCACACTTGGCATCTCTGGACAGAGAGAGAGAGAGAGAAAGAGAGGAGGTCAAATCAGAGGCTAGGGAAGACCTGGGGCATAGAAGAGCTTAGCTTTTCTTGACCAGGACAGCAGGCTTCCAAGCCTGGGGAAGGGGCAAAGGGGCAATGCGCATGCTCTAGGGACCCAACAGGTGGACTTAGACCAAGAGGAGGAAACAGGATCCTTGTCCCCAAGCAGATCCAGGCCTAGAGCTGGCCATAGGGAGTCCTCTTTACTGCAAGGACAATGGCCTGAATGGAGCAACCTGTCCCCCTATGGCCCTTGCACCCCACACACCCAGGTGCTGCAACCAGAAGCCTGGTGTCATCTCAGACTCCATTCTCCCTTAATCTCAGGTTCAAGCAATTTTTAGGCCCCGTCACTCCTCCCTCCTATACATCAACCCGAACTCACACCATCATCCTCTCTTATCTGGACACCAGGACACTGATCTCTCTGCCTCCAGTCTTGCCCCATTGGAACCTAATTTCCAAATTGCTCTTGAGTCAAATCCAAACTTTCTCAGCCATGTGTTCAAGACTGTTTATGATCTGGTCCCTGCTTCACTACTGATCTCATTTCTAAGCAGCCCCCTCTACACTGCACCCCAACATTAGACTTCATATCAAATTGTTATCAGTTCTTTGACCACCGGTTTCCCACTTCTCATCTCTCTGCCCAGGACCCTCTCCCATGTCCCAGCACCGCTCTCCGCCTGATCCACCTGGAGAGCTGGTCCAGCTCTCAGCTTAGGCGTAACTTCCTTTGGGAAACCACCTCCACCCACTAAGATCAGGTTGGGTGGTTCTCTCCCCATGTCCGTCATCGCACTGCATTGTTAATTTAAAGTGCCATGTACTCAGCACAGTATCTGGCACATGGTAAACCCTCAACAGAGAGGGGACAGGTGAGCAGATGGATGAATACGTGGATGGGTGGCTGGTTGGCTGAAGTGAATGAATGAATGAATGAATGAATGAGTTAATGAACGATGGGCTGTTCAGATAAGGGTATAATTAGCACCCTCCAGAAGTGACTCAAGAAGGCTGACTCCCTGCCCTACTGTAGGAAGGTCCCCAAAGCTTCCTGACCAGCTTTCTAGGAAGCACTGCTGTCCACACCCTCCCTCTGGCTTCCTTAGGGCTGAGCGGGGCATTGTCCCACGACGGGCCTGGAAGAGACGGCTGCCTCCAAACAATGTATTTAAAGGCCCAGCTCTGGGCCAGCCAAGCCGCTGGGCTGGGTGGATGTGAGGAGGACAGAGCAGGAATTGTTTTGTTACCCCCTCTTCGCATGGGGTCTGCCCTACGGTCATCACCTCAAGTTGCACTTCTTGTGTTTCCCATTCATGTCCTTCCCACAGTTTCCAAAGGTGTCCCCTGCCACATTCACCTTCTCGAAGCAGAGATCAGGAGCAGGCCGGGCTCCTGAGTGGGCAAGAAACATTTATCAGAACACTAACCAACTTGAGCAGAACTCAGAAGCCCTTCGCAGGGCAAAGCTAGTCCTTGGTAAAGGGTCAAGGTTAAGAAAGCTTTTTGCGAGAGAATATTTAGCCTTTTCTTCCTGTATCCCCTATTAGCTTATTCCATTCCTACTCATAGAAACAGGTTTTATATCAGTTCTTTATGCCTTATTGAGGTTTTATATCTGTGGGTTTGTATGTTAAGCCTTTTCTTTAATAAAGAAGACTTGTCCTTTTTTAGGACTTTAAAAAAATAAGTAATACATATGCAAAATTCTAAAGAAATAAAGTATGTCTTGGGAATTTTTCTAACTAGTCATTTCAGTTCTTACTTCCCTATATTCTGGAGAAGTAATCATAATTAACATTGTGTCTTCTACAGACATCTATATATCTTTGAGATATCATTCTTGTGTATCTTTTAGAAATAATTTCTCTAGTAAAGAATGACAGCATAGTCTATACACTGTTCTGCTGTTCACTGAACTCATTGTGGGAGATGATTTTATTTAGTGCACACAGAGCGCCTCCTTTTATTCAGCTGCATCATGTTCCACTGTATGGATGGATCCGAATTAATTTAGTTGGTCCCTATGGTGGATGTATATAGTTATTACTATAACTAACAACACTGTAATAATTATCCTCATAAATTTATCTTCACATACATGTTCAAGCACAACGGAAGATACATTCCTAAGTAGTAGAATGGGTAGGTCCAATGAGTGCATTTAAAATTTTTATATCTCCAAATTGCTCTCTACGGGGGTTGTACCTGTTCCCCCACACTCTCCACATCACTGTATTATTATTGTTCTTGTTGTACTCTTATAATATTTACATTATGATAGTAACCCTTCAGTCTTTGCCAATCTGATATATAAAAAATCCTATCTTACAGTGGTTATAATTTGATTTCATTTGATTTGATTTGATAACATGAACGAGGGCAAACATCTTCTCATAGGTACAGGCCGTTTGCATTTCCTTTTCTGCCTCCACCCTCTGCCCACTTTGCTTTTCGATTATTCTCATGCATTTCCTTGCTCTGAGAGCTGAAAGCATCGAGGAACTGGGAGGAACACAGTCCACTGTCTCTCCCTGACTGTCTGCCCTGACCCGAGAGTACTACTTAGAGAGGCTGTTTTGAAGCCAAGATTCTATGCTCAGCATGGGGGTGGGGGAACCGCACACCCCGGCACACTTACCAGGCCCCCACAGCTGCTGGCACTGCTTCTGGTAGGTGAGGCACATGCCGTTGTAGCAGTAGGCCTGGCCGCCCTCGCAGGGGGTGCCGTCCATCTGGTAGAAGTTGGTGGGACAATGGGGAGACTTGCCTGTGCAGAACTCCGGGAGGTCGCACTGTCGGGCCTGCTCACGGCACAGTGTGCCAGGGGCCAGCAGCTGAGCCGCGGGGAAGAGGCAAAAACATCAATCTTTTGCCCCCCTTCAACCCTCCCAGCCACTGGCTTGTGCGCATCACTCTGGTGGAACAGGATTTCCCATTACTACCATTTTACGTGACCTCATTCGTTCAAAGTGTTGTTAACCTTCTCATGTGAATAGTGACCTGAGTTTTCCAGGTGTTTTCAGAAATGCTCACTCACTTCCTCTTCATGAGAAGTAGGTAAGAAATAACATTTATGCAACAATTTACACCTGACTAAGTGCTTCAGTAATAATGCCTACTTTTATGGAGCTCCCACTTAAGTGCCCCATACAAATAGGACTTCATTTAGTTTTCACGACAGTTTTATGTAATATAATTATCTCTGTTTTATAAATTATAAAACCTGAGGCAGAAGGGGATAAGCAATGTGTCCAAAGTCTCATGGTGAGTATATGGCAAACAAACCAGGCCCATTAATACACACACACACACACATATTATAAACTCGCATATACAAATATACAGACCCATTCATGCATATACATCCAAATCATCCATATACACATTTTCCCCTGAACATCTACATGTACACCCATGGGGTGCTCATTCTGTGTTAAGGGGGTCCCAGTTCCATGTTTCTGAAATTTTGAGGTCCCCTCTTCCCCAAGACGGAGGCTGTGTCCCGCGCCTCACCCCCAGCAGAGCATTGGGCTGTTAAGTCAGAACCCTGGGTCGGGGAAGGGCCACTTACCTTACACTGGTGACAGCAGGCGCCATGGGCACACTCGGCCCCTTGTCTCAGGGTGCAATTAGAGGCATTGCAGCAAGGGTTTCTACATTCCTGGGGGGGCAAAGGGAGCGGTGTGAGCCTCTGGGGCGGGAGCGCCTGAGACGGGGGTCTGGGCAGGGGCGGGGCCCTCCCCGGCCTCCCGCATCTCCCCGCCCCCGCCCCCATGCCCCTGGAGCCCCGGCTCCCTAGAAGTCTGTACCGAAAAAATCACTTTATAGCTTAATTGCTAAGGTAATGTGTATTAACTGCAGAAATATACATATATATACGTGTGTATATGTACACACACACACACGCAAAATCATCAGTAACACCACAACTGAGACACTACTCCATTCTGAGCATGGCTATTTTCCCAGGCATTTTCCCGTGTACATAAATAGAAACATACACTTATTTTATAAAATCACAGTATCCACGCTGCTCTGTAACGTAATATAATATACACGCTTCTCCTGGTAGTCATGTATCCTTCCAAATCATGATTTTCAGCACAGCGTTACACTGTATGGGAATTCTGTGATGTGTCTTTCTTGCCCTCAACGGAACACCCCAAGATTCTGTCTTCTGTGCTGCTGCCTCTGTGCCCCACCCCCCACCCTCACCCCCGGCCTTACTCTCCCATAGAAAGAGGCCGTCGGAGCAAGGGTGTCCGGCGACGAGCCTGAACGCCGCCGTTCGGCCAGCTCCCGGGCCTGCGTCCCCAGCCGTCTCCCACTCAGCCTCCCTGGCCTGGGCCCTCCCACCGGGACAGAAGGTCTCCAGAGTTTCCACGCTCCACACCCCCCCTCCCCCGCTTCCTTCCTGCCCGCCCTCCTGGTCCTCATTTGTTGACACACAGCAAAAGATTTAAAAGGCTGACGGTCGGCCACCGCCTCTGAGTGTCCTTATAACATATGGTCACAGGCCTGTCCATTGACAGTTCTTGAGAATGTGCTGGCCCGCACGCACAGGGCCGTCACAGCCTGCGAGGCGCGATCACTCGGCTCTCACCGACGGGGAGCACTCAGACGAGGCCCCCGGCTGCTCGAGGCGCACACCTGGCAAGGGTGGGAGCGGGACTCCAGCCATGCCTGCCCAGGGCCTGCTCCGCGTTCACTCACCACATCAGAAACATCACTGTGCGGGTCCGGCCTACTGGAGCGGCACACGCCACAGCCTCCCTAGAGATACCCATCCACCCGCCTTCCCTAAGAGAGGGAGCATCCCTGCCACTGATCTCTCATCATCCTGGGCTCCAGGCAGACCTGTGTCACCACGTCCCTTCCCACCTCAAGGCCTGGTTCCACCCTGAGCTGAAATGTGCCTTCTCTCCTTGTGCTCCTCACTAGCTCCCAATGGCCCTCGGGTATGGGGTCAGAGGTCACACCCCCCATTCAGGTGGGGCCACTCCCTTCGTACTACATATACTCATAGAGCACCTTGTCATGGGCCCTCCTAGGACTGAGATACTTTTGCAACTCTTTGGTCAGTATGTGTGTCCCCCACTATTCTAAATGTGCCACAAGGACAGGGATCACATCTCTTTTTGCTATATTTACCCTTGCCCTAGCACCCAACTCAGTGAATATTTGTAGAATCAGCAACTGCTCCGAATATAAGCCAGCTGGCTCAGCCCAGTCGCGGGCCGCTCCTCAACCCCACGGGTCCCCCCAGGGCAACACAACGCCCTCCTTTCCGAAGGGCCCAGGCTGGTCGCTGCGAACGTGTGACGGGGGCGGGGGTGGGTAGCAGAGCCTTAAACTGGGTCTTGTTCTTTTATAAAAGTAACTCGCTGACATTAAAAAAAAAAAATCAAACCATAGAGAAGGTTATAAAACCAGTCTCTTCCCACATTCACAGACCCTAAATCTCATCCTCCATGTCTAACTGTTACTCATGTATTCTCCCCTAAACTGTCTTCATGCTAATGTACATAGTTTCACCCTTACAGAAATAGAGATAAAACTATCCAGTTCTGCTTTTTGCAAAACACGCATCCATTACAAGTGGCAGAGCGGTGCTGTATGCCTGCCATACTCATTCTAAAGATCAAAACAGCCCTTCTCCTTCTTCCTCCTAGCGGCCCTTTTCAGATTTGATCACACTTTCTACTTCCCCTTTCAATCATCTCTTCTCCAGGCTAAACGGTACAAGCTTGTTATTTTAAGCATCCTCATAAGGCCCAGATTCAAGTTCATACATCCAGCTGCGTGGCCTCCAGAATAAATTCAGAGTAGCCGGAAGGACAAAAAGCCACCTGCCCCTCCACGGGTGAAGACTGTGGTTTCTGGTTGGGTCAGACACTCACAAGGAAAACCCCACCCTAATTTGGACACAAACAGCGACAACCTCAAACTGGGAGAGTCTGCAGAAACCGCGCATAGTTAAGGCTCACTCTCCACGTCTTATTTGCGGTGTTGTAAGAAATGCACACGACTAAGAAACTCCTCATTCTCTCTGAACTTGAGATTTGAAACAAACGCAGAGTCTCCCTCCGCGGCCGCAACACCTTACCTCTTCCTCCCCACAGTCGCACTCTTCCCCGTCTTCCAGGTACCCGTTTCCACATCTCCGGCCTCCATACAGCGTCCTGGTGTCTGGCATGTTCGAGAGACACATCCCGCCACCTGACTGCAAATACCTGTCCAGCTCCCTTTTGTTGCATCCATTGAAGACTTTGGGGAAAGGATGGCTGGCAGAGAGTAAGGCTGGAGTTAGCTGGAAGTCTGAGCATCGAGCGGCCAGGGCCGCTGTCACCCTGCTGCCCGCTGGGTTGATTCCGCCTGGAAGGACTCAGACCCCGCACAGTGCCATGCACATACATTCTGCCCCCTCGGAACACCATCAATATATTAGCTTACAATTCCTTCTAAGAATTAAAAAACAGTAACCACCCCATAGTGGTTTCCCCCCCTTCTAGATAGAAGAAGTGTCTAAGAATCAGAAGCAGCAAGCAATCTCTGCCCTTTACATGAAGGGGCTACGATACATAAAGGGTTATAAGCGTTACGAAAGGTCCCTTGAGCCTTAGAGCTGAATACAATACCAGCCAACCCAAACTTTTTCTGAAGCTGATATTAGATGGAGATTTTCTTGGGACAGAAGACCAGGCCCCAAAGGGCCAAGATCATGGGTTTAATTTTTTTTGCTGGGCCAGTTGCCTGATCTCGGTAGTAAGCTGTACTAAGGATACAGGCAGTGCTCCAAACTCAACCAGCCAATTCACAAATGCATAGTCTTTATCACAAAGGGTATAAAGGTCTTAGGTCTCACTACTGGGAAAAAGAATTAAAAGCCATACGTTCTCTGGTAGCAGGTCAGTACTACCATTTGGGTTTATAAAAGAAGAGTTATTCTGATCCCCATTCTCCAACCCAACTAAAGGCTAAACACTAGAGGGTTTCTTTCAGTCATCAGGCATATCACAAGGGACTTACTGTTAGACTATTAAAATTTACAAGTGGCTTAAAAACAAATTAAAGTAGTAATTAATATAACTCTCAACTGTTTGTCTAATAATATGCTTTTCAGATTGGGAGAGAAAGAGGTGGACTTCACCAGGAGCTCGTAGGGACTGGAGCATGACCTATGGAGTTCTCTCCTGCATGTCCCCATCATCCTCTGTAGGACCCACGGTCAAGGACAATGCGGGGAGGGATTGTCTTTGGAAGCGGGGGCTGGACGGGGCAGGGGAGAGCATCAGGGAGAGGGGCCGGATATGGGAACAACTGTAACTGAACAACAAAAAGAAAAAAGGGAAAAAACCCATCATCTTTTGTGTGTCACAGCTGAGAAGGGGTGGGGAAAACACTGGCCACTGGAGCGCCAAGAAAGCTACATTTTTTCTTGGAGACACTGAAACACCATTTCTTTAAGAAGCATAAGCAAGTCTTAATGGTTTGGGGTGGGAGGAACATAACCTCCCACCGTGATGGCTCCCAACGGGGGGCTCCATTCCTGGGAGAAGCCAATGCTCTCTGCTGAGTGAGTTCAGGTACTAAATATACATCCTTTGAATAAACTCCAGAATTTTCTGCTCCGGTTTAAAAACCCTTAAAACTACAGGGAGATGCAGCTGCCTAGTGCTTGGTCCTCCTGGTAAACACAGCCCATAAATTCCCTGAGGGGGTCCCTGGGGGGGTGTACAAATGCTCCTCTTTCTTCTTGTTCTGTAGGCCACATCAGCGCTTTCAACCAAGCCTGGGAAGTAAGAGCACTCATCAAACTCCCTTGAAATGGACGGACTAAGACCTGTGACCGCTATCAAAATCATTCCTTATCAAAAATTCATGAAGAGAAAAGGACACACGTAGTCAGGTCAATTTTGCAGCTGAAGACCTAAGACAAAAATTAGTCTATCTGGGGTCCCACCAGCACCTAACCTCACGCTAGGAACCTAGTGCTCCTTGCATGCATTTGCTTTCTTTGTCCTCCTCCCATCTCTTTGTCGTCAAAAGCACATTTCTCTCCAAGCCCTAACAGAGGCTCTCTGGGGCCAGCTGGGAGGAGCACGGGGTTGTGCACGCTCTGCCCTCTGCCCCGTCCGCCCCTCCCGCCTGACTCACCCAGTGGCAGCTGCCATGATGCACCCACCGTCAGCCTCGCTGGCTGGGCAGCAATTGGCAGAATCATGGCTCATGCCAAAATTGTGGCCCATCTCATGGGCCATGGTGGCAGCCACGCCGATGGAATTCTCAGAGTGGTCCTGCACAGGGAGAGATTCAGGTTAAGAAGACAGCTGTCCCTGACCCCCGGCCCTGCCTTTACTTTGGCCAAGCCTCGCAGCTTGATAAAAGCCCACGCTTTTAACTACACACTGCACCTGCCAATCATATGGGGTGGATAGAGGATGAACAGATAGATGATGGCAGGCTCCTTGACATCTACTCCGCACGTCAGAAATGAAAACTCAGAGTCATTTAACACGTAGTCACAGTCAGAGAGAATTCAAAAGAAGGCAGTAATTTCCTAACCATGACTTTGAGACAAGCTCTTATTTCATAATGATATACATAATATAAAACCTAGAATAAAAAACAAATGTTTTTCATCTCTGTTATCTTACCACTCCCCAGCCCATGGTTTGGAAGATATGAAAGACCCAGTGATGTATTAAGGTGATTGCTCCTGGGTTTTCCTGAACTTGAAAATTGGGGATAAATCAATGAAAATGCACCCCTGGGTACCTCCATCTCTTATCACTTACTGACTTCATTTTAAACACCTGCTCTTTGTGATGTCAAAGCTTTTCATTTTTCTGCAATAATAAATGTAACAGTATGTTTGACAAGATGACCTCCTGTCTTGTGAGGCAGTTTCCTGCCTCCTGCAGCATCAGCACGTCAGCCGAGACTCACCATGTTGACGCCTCCGGACTGGTACACGGAGCACATGGCCATGAGGGGGGCCAGGCCGATGGTGATGCCCTGGAAAGACCTGCCCCTGCGGAAGGGAAGGAGAGAGGGTGACTGCGGAGGGAACTGAGAGGGCTGCTTCAGTGTGACCAGAAGCACACTGAGACAGCTGTCACGGTGTCCCTCAGCCCCTCTGACACTCCCAGATCATTCCCAAAGGGAGAGGCCCTGGCACCACAGGCCAAGTGGACAGATTCCAGGTTGCCGCACCTCTGACTTCCTCTCACCCACACTCTCCCTGCTCTAGGAAAGCAGACAGAGAGAGTGAAAGGTCACTTTTCCCCACAGTATGCCCGCAGCCCTGTCCCCTGGAAGGAAATGGGCAGGGCTTGCAAACTGCATCCCATTCCTGCTGCACAGGAAAAGGTCAGAGGGTGGGGGGAGGGAAGAGTGCCACAGGCTCTGATGCCGAAGTGAATCAGGCCCACTTCCGCCAGCTGCCGGGGTCCCATGCCACATCCCCGGCCCTGGGGGATGGGGCAGGGAATTTGGGGCAGCAGCTGTGGGGACTGATGTTTCATTCTTGCATCACTCGGGGGCCAAGGAAACAGATGTGTCCCATCAGAAGCGTCAAGGAGTGCAGCTGGGTGCAAGAATGACCTATTTCTGCCTTTGTTTTGCAAGTATGATCCTAATCTGCCAACGGCCAAGCGCCACTCCCCCAGTTTAATGCATCCCTCTCTGGCTGTATACGCCCAGCGCAGGGGGCAAGAGCTCAGTGTTTTCACGCATGCCACAAGCATGTAACTTATGGAAAGTCTATATGGAAAGTCATTGTGTCATACTTTGATATCCCTGTGCTTGTCTTTTTATTTAGATCCTGATATCTTTGAGAGCTGAGACTATCTTACATATTTTGGGATCACTGGAACTTAGAATCTGAAACATAGTGGGTGCTTAATAAGTGCTTGACGACGTCAAGGCAGGTTCTTCTTCAGAGAAACAAGATGCGAAGGAAAACACAAAATGTGTGCAAATGTACGTGAAGTCCTACTGGTTATTTTATAAATTTAGACAATGGCTCTGGGGAAGTCCAACTGGAAACCTAGATTCAAGCAGGACATGCTTCCAAAGTTCAGGCCAAGAGTCTTGGTAACCCAAGACTCTTCCGAGGTGAATGTACTTGTTGCCCAGGTTTTTGGTAGTTATTTCCCAGGTCTTTTAAAATTATTTTTAAAATTCAAAAAAAATTAAATGAGCTTTTGCTTAAAAACTTCTGGATAGCTTCTAATAACTTCTAAATAACTCATGGCTTAAAAGGGATATCAAAACTGAAATGACAAAACACTAAGAAAGGACAATGGAGCATTATATTTGGATAACAATGGGATGCGTCAGGCCTTTTTTTTTTTTTTTAAGAGTAAACAAAGGTTGAAATGATTGTTGATTCAGAAAGGTATTTAAGCAACAAAAGAAAAAAATGATTTGATTATGTACATGCCTTCTGTTGTCACTGCCCCAGAAGACCCTGGGAAGTCAACCCTAATAAAAACTAGGTAATCACTCCCAGGGGGCTGTCACCATGCCCTGTGACCCTCAGCAGTGTCTTCTCTTATTCTCTCTGGGGTAGAAGAAACACAATCTGCGCCCCAAACCCTCAATGTTTCCCTCCCACCAAACACATGGACCCTGCGCTATCCGCCACTTTGACTGTCTTGGGCAGGCAGCCCTGAGCCCCCAGGAAGGAAGCGAAGGACCCGCCAGGGAACCACCACCCCGCCCCCGGCCCACCTGTGCCTGCTTCAGGAGATATGCTCTGGACTAGAACAAAGTGCCAAGATGATGAAGACGAGCCCCTTAGAAAGTCTGTTTCAAAGCTGCCCATGACCAACAGTCACTTCCCAAATACACACCCAATTGTTTCAGACACTCAGCTGAATATGTGTAAATACTTTTTGGGATTGTTATGATTCTCAGGCTTTTTAACATTTTCCAGCACGTGCTAGGTACAGAGCAGATGACTGAGAAATAGTTGATTACAGGGACCAGGGAGTCAGGGTGGCCTAGTGCAACGAACATGCAGCATCAGGAAAGGAAGGGGCAGATAGCACATGTTCTGTGGACAGGAGCTTTGCAGCTAACAGCAAGGCAACACACATGGAAAAAGGCTATTTACGTGATTAACTGTGCATTGTCGTGTTTCTTCTGAGTGAGCAGCTTGCGCCTCCAACGAAGAAATGACCAGAGGGTAGAGTAAGGGTTCTCCGAAACTTCACACATATCCCCGTGAGTCCACACTTCCAAGCCCACGAGAGCAATCCGGATGTTCAAGGATCGGTAAAACTGATCAGTGAAACAGAAAAGCCACGGCATCATCTTCATCTGTCAATGCTAGCAAGGGGTTTATAAATCTCAGGTGGCTAAACAGTAGTCCATTGTATGGACATACCCAACTATATATGGATATTTTGTTGTAAGATGTCTCCACTCATTTTGGAAGTAAATGGGTACAAGTGATCTACAAGTAAGTAGACATGCTTACTCTCAAAAGTTCCCTTCCCCATCGCTGGAGGCCTTCAGCTTTCATCAAGGATACAATAAACTGCAAGCATTAGACTGCAAAGGGGCCAGGCAATCTTCAGGGTTCTGCACACAGAAAAGTTTGGAAATTCTATAAAGGAGACCTGACTCCCAGGATCCTTAAGGGTAAAACTATATCTAACCTTTATGACACAGTGTCTTTCACGTCATATACATATAAGCAGAATGAGAGCTTTCTTTAAAGCTAAGGATTCCAAGGCATGGATATAAGAAATTCTTTGACTGGCGTAGCCTAGAGACTACTGAGGCAGTGACTTGAAAAAATAGAAAAGCTTCACGTAAGCCTCGGTGGCATGAGCAAGGAGATCCCATTTAATCCAAAACTAGATGACTTTGGGCAGGTACTGCCCCAGCTGAAAATAAAAACCAGAGCACTTTCTAGATACTAAGCACAGAGGCTTAGAAGTAAGTACCTTGCCCAACGTCTCAGCAGAAAAATAGTGGAGCCAGGATTAAAGCCAAAATGATCCGCTCTCAGAGCTGCCTTATACCCTTACTCGGCTAAAGTGTGGGGTTTTTACTTCCAAACAATCCACTTGCCTCCAAGAAACTTGTGGAGTAGGATGGGCTCCAGATTCAGTTGACCTCAGTGGAAATTTTGATTTTCCTGTTTTGTGCCAGGTCAATCATTACAGAAAATAAAAAGTTTGGATTCCAATTTGAACTTGCTTCACTAGGGAGCTTTTTAAGGACTTAGACTTGGCTTTTTCACGGTGAAGGAAAAACATTTTGGATTGGGTTCATGATTCAGCAAATGAGTGCAGTTCATTCCAGGTTTAGTTCAACAATAGTTCAGTTCAAGTAGCTGGGTCAGCAAGTCTCAGAGAAGTGGGTCAGCCTCCCAGCCAGGAATGACGGACATCAGCTGCTGAGGCGGGCGCTGAGACCGTCTCACTGAATGAACGGACCAGCTGGCCGGGCCGGGGGCTTCAAGGGTGGGCCGGGGTTTGCTCATGGCTCTCTTCTATTTTTCATCAGCACCCTTGGTTCTATCACCCAGGCTGACTGCAGAGTTTGCAAAGGGGAGACTCAGCCAAGCCTCCCACCTGCCAGGTCTCCAGAACAATAGGTATCACGTGGGCAATAACAGGGTCTGCCTCCTGCGTGTACCCCAGAGACCCAGCTGTTCTTGTTTTCCCAGATGTTGAGTGTTTGGGTTGTAAGATCATTTAGATGTTATTGTGTGTGGTGTGAGTTAAGAGCTAGAGAGGACTGGACTGTGTCCCTGGAGTCCTTCCTTCCAGGAAATGCCAGTGTTCGACGGATACCAGTCATTGACCACTGGCCGGCATTCCCAGAGCCACCTTGGGCAGAACAAAAACACATGGCGTAGACTTTCCCACCTAATGATTTCCGAATACTATCAAATTTGCTTGTAAATCCCTAAAAAATATCAAAGTTTTCTTCTTTATATTCTAGTGCTTAAGGAAGAATGATTTTTCCTTTTAGTCTGGGCTCCATGAACCCCGGGCAGGCCCAGAGTTAAAGCTTCAGAAGTTCTGTGAGTGCCCTGAATTTGTACAATAAATGTTTAAATAGAGTCTCAGAGACCTGTGACCCCAAATATATTAAAATCTACATATTAAAACTACTACTAGCCTATCAAGGGCCTAGGTTACCCATTCTACTGCATTTTGTACCATAGAAAATTTTACATATATATAAATATATATATTTTGTGTATATATGTGTGTATACACCCCCCCCCAAAGGATTCCCATGTCCTAGACCAGCCTGTTCTAGTAGAATTCAAGAATTTGGGTATTTCTTAACAGCATGTTTAAAAGGCCTACCTTAGGAAAGTGAACCACCTGCGTAGTTTTAGAACCATTTTACAGATGGAGACTATACAGATTGGTCCCCAAACAACTACTCCTCAACTTTTATGATTGTGTCCCTTTCCCTTGCTGACTTACCACAAATCTCTCCTAAGTTAGAGCATCCAGGAGCTTTGCCCCTGGAAGGAACCTTAAAGAACCTTACAGCACTTACGCTGACCTCCTCTATGTCCTCAGTTCCCTGGGAGCCACTGTAGGAAGGAAGGGAAGGGGTCAGGGCACAATGCTGAGTCCTCACCCCCGCTCCAGCTTAGAGCAGCCCGTTCCATCTGACTTTTATGTTAGACTGTTTTGTACTGGCCTCAGCCTATTAATAACCAGCGTTATTATATAGCTGGACTAGCTCTGCGGTTCTTATTATGCATGCAAGACTCCCTCCAGCAATAACTATCAGGAAACTGAAAAGATACAGGTTTATTACTCACAAGGCCTGGAAATGACATAGCACATCTGGGGCCACACAGCGAGGTGGGGGGAGTGTGAGGCTGGGGCGAGAGAGAATGGGCCTGGATTCTGCTTTTACTGGGGTGAAGGGTGAGAGCCCAGGGTTCTGAGGGCTCATTCTTCATTGTATAATTTAAAGCACAGGAAAAGGGGGGGAAATGAAAAAAACAAGTATCCCAAATGGTCAGTTACTGAAATCAACCAACATCTCTAAAACAAAGGAGCCTCCGTGGAGGGAGGCGGCCTGGCTCTTTCCCTGGTCCTATGGCAGTAAAGTGTCTGCTGAGACAGCCCACTTTGTATGGATGCCCCTCTTAATGAACATCTGGGCAATCAGAGCTCGAGCCAGGCACTTGCATTACAAAAAGAAAAAACAAACAATGTCAGTGCTTCCGTTACATAGACAGTGGCGTAAGATTTCATTTTAAAAAAGGATTCCACCAGAAACATAAAAATAATCCGAAGCCACTGATCTAGGCCAACCCCTCTATTATGTAAATTCAAAACAAAACAATACAAAATTTCAAGCCAAAAAAGAGTTGTTACGTGGCTAAGGTCACATAGCTGAGCCTTGTCAGATGGCCCTGTGCCTCTGTGGCATTGCTGTTCCCGCCGGTGGGCTGGCTAGGCCCCCAGGAGGCAGCTCAGGTGTTCTGTGGTCTCCTGTCCTCTGAGGTGCTGGCACCTGTCCCACAAAGTACACACCTGGTCTCACCTTATCAACGTAATTGGCGATCTCCATGAGCTTGTGTTTGGTGGCATCCTGGTCTCGTCCGTTCTTCTGAAACTAAATAGGACACGGAGAACCAGGTAAGACCCCAGGACGCCTCTCAGGACCCCTTCCATGCCCATTCTTGTCCTTGAATTAGTATGTTCTTTCTTCCACCTCCTATGAGCCTCACATTTACACAGCTGTCTCCCCACCACACACACACACAGTGCCAGCTTGGGGCCAGCAGAGCCTGGGTCAGGTCCATTTGGTGTCACCAACTACCAGCTCAGTGCCGGGCCCACGGCTGGCAGGTGGTAGCTGTGCAGTGAATTGAATTCTTTCTCCAGCTCTTGAAGTCAACTTTGTTCCCCTGTCCTCCAAGTGAGAAGGCCTCCCGCAAGCTACCACTGGGCCTCAGCAGAGGGGCCGATTCAACCTCTGCCTTGATCGTCACCCCAACATAAAGCTACCGTCGCAGGGATTTCAGCAGGTCCCCCTACATGCGATCAATCCAGAATGGTCAAATGTTACTGAACGCCTGCTACAGGAAAGGCACTGCGCTTGGCACCAGGTGGGAGAGCCTGGGAGCGGCCTAGAGGAGCTTCAGTGAAAATAGAGAGAGAGCCGGAAAGAACCACAATGGCAGATTCCGTATTTAGGGCGTCGATCGTTGAAAGCAACTGAGAAAACATGGACAGAAATAACTGCAATCGGAGGCCGCATGGATGATACAGAACAGGGGCTGGTGCCGACCACAAGACCTTGGCTTTGGTCTGGCACGTCACTCGGATGGACTGGCAGCGCCTTCCACAGCGGGAAGAATTCTGAGGCTGCATGGAGCTCAGCAGGGAATAGTGCTGTGCTCGATGAGAAATGTCTGGCCTGGGTACCAGGACATTTCAGTAGGCAGCCCCACATTTTTCCTTCCTGCTGCAAGAGAGTAGCTCTCTTTCAGCTGCAATGATGAAGGAAAGCTTCACAGTGTAAAGACAAAATTTGCTGTAGAATCTGGGTACCTTGGATACACAACTATAGATGCTATGTCAAGTCCAAACCTTCACGCCCTTCCTCCACCCGCTCCAGCAAGAATATCCAAACAAGGAGCAGAAGAGCAGTCCAATAAAACTCCCTGGGATACTGGCTGTGCGGGGGTATGCCTCGCCGGGGTCCAGGGGAGAAGCCATCCTTTCCTATCCCTCCACGGCATCCGGGGCTTCCCGAGCGCCCTTGGACTGTCACCCACCGGAACGGTCCATTGTCTCACTCTCGTCACCGCGTCCTGAGAGTTCAGTTCAATGTCAGGCATCGTGACGTACAAGGTATTACTCCTGAAGTTTAGAGTCACCCCATTTCTAGACTGGTCTCACGCACAGAAAGTGCTGCAGTATTTAGTGAATATTTATCATAAAATCATAGCCGTATTTCATTGCCTTTCAAATATATTACTCCTGTCTTCAAGCAACGGCCTGATAATACCACCACAGTTTTAAGAAGGTATTGTGTTGTCCAGAAGAGCCTCAAGCAGGAGTCAGCCAACTTTTTCTTAAATGGACAGATTAAATATTTTAGGCTTTGCAGCCATACTATCTCTGCCACAGCTATTCGACTCTGCCGTTACAGCTCAAAAGCAGCCACGGACAATACACCCAGCAGCAGACATCGAAGTGGTCCAGTAAAACTTTATTTACGAAAACATGGTGGGCTGGGTTGGACCACGGGCTATCGCTTGCAGACCCATGATCTAAAGAAAGGACTATCTCAACCTTAAACGTGCTAGGGTGACAGAGAAAGTAAAACGTGGTACATCCCCTGGCCTTTTCCGACCTCACCACCTTCTGCCTACATCAGGAAAGCTCTTTGTATTCCCATTTTTAAGGCTGTTCCGCCCCCTTCTGCAATACCCCACCTTGTTCCTCCTGCTCCTGGATTTCCCCTTTCACCTGCGGGAATAAGCTGAGCCCACCCCAGGCGCCCCCACCTAGGCCCAGGGAGTGAGCAGCTGCTTGGTCATTTGCGCAGAGGACGACGCTCGCGCGTGCTCTCCTGGCAGCCACGCCATCCCTGCCCCTGCTCCCCGAGCACAGCCCAGAGGAGGAGCCTGGCCTGTCTCAGCACCAGGTTGTAAATCACAGATAAGGCAGCCCCCCTGCTCTGGGTCCTCCCATCCTTTCAGATTAATTAATTGTCAGGCATACACTTCTGCCAGCAGAGGATGAGAGGCCACTTGAAGAGGGAGTGGGGCAGAGGTGGGGAGGGGCAGGGATGTGAGAGCCTGAGAGCCTGCCTGGCCTGTTGCATCCCCCACTCCACCCCTCCCATGACTCAGTCAGAGCCCAGGACCCTGAGAAATAAGCAAGTTCCCTGTCCCCAGGCAGCATGAATCAGGAGTGCCTGACAGGCAGCTGCCGAAGGCACCCTCCTGACACAGGACAGGGCTCCAGGCAACACTGCAGTCCCCAAGGCACCTCAGCAGACAGTTTTCCTTTTGGGGTTTTCTTCTGTGACACTGGAGGTCAGGAGACTAAAGATGCCCAATCCCTACGTTGCCCCCGCTTCTCCAGCTTCCAGAGACTCGCATCCAGCGGGTTTTAAAACCTCGAGCCAAGATTCCACTGGGGACAGTATGGGGCTGAAGGGGAGGGTCACCTCCCCCACCGCCGCCACTTTACAACGGAGTGGCAGTGTTTCTATACGTTTAGCTACTGGGGTCCTAGCAGCTGTCATCTGAACCAAGGATTCTGTGGCTGAAAATGCTGTATGAGATGATCTTAGATGCAAAGCTTAAATGAAAAAAATGTCTTGGAGTCAGAAGAGTTCAGCCTTCTCCCAGCAACCGTCCCACTGGGGGCCAACGACAGTCACCTCCTCCCATGACCGCGGAGCCTTGGCTTTTAAATCAGCTCTGGACTTTGCTCCCCACACTGCTCCACCATCCTACACACACACCAGTCTTTGAAAAGGAAAACAAAGGAAAAGAAAAGGCTGCTTAAAATCAATACCGACATCAATTAAAAAGCAAAACTCCTCGAAGCAGAACACGACATTCTCCAGCCTGGAATGCCGCTTGCCTCCACCTCTGCCCAGCTAACAGCTCCTTGTCCTTTAAGACAGCTCGAGGGCCACCGCCTCCTGCCACTAACCCAGGAAGGCAGAGCTGTGGGCCTCAAGTCTAGGGTTCTTCCCACCAGTCCCACTGCCTCCAGGACCTGCGCTTTGGGACGATGGACTAGATAGAGTGACTTTAGGAGTCGTTCAGGGAAGCTGGCAACTAAGCCCCTTGGGGGGGCCATGAGACAGGCCGGAGCCTGGATGAGTTCCGTCCTAAGGGGAGCCCGAGGTGACAACGTGGTCTTAGAGCACAGTCGGCTCATCGTGACTTCCCATGCCCAGATGTGCTTAGTTACATGGCTGAGTCACTACCTAAAGTGAGAATTGAGGTAAAACATGGCTCATTTACGCAAATGTGGGCTCTTGGGCTTGAACCCATTCTTCGGGTGTCAATGTCAACATCACCGCTTTGGAGAAGCGTTCCCCAATATCCCAAACGACCATGCTGGATCCCTCATTATCTGCATTCTAATCCTCTATAATGACACATCTCGGCAGTTACCACACTCGGAACGAGGATACAGTTCTGTGCTGCTGCTGGAAGCCCTGTGATACCAGCGGCAGGCTGGTCCATATCTCCTGGGGCCAAGTACTGTGCGTGGCACATAATAAAGATCAAGAAATCACTGATGAATAAATGATATGAGAGAGAGAGATAAGTGTGCATCATATCTTAGAAGTCAAGGCCTGCGAGAACCTGTCTATTTTGAGGAATATGGGATTAAAGGCCAAACACCTATTTCTTTAGGTCAGTAGTTCTCACACTTGCCTGTGTATCAGAGCCACCCAGAAGGCTTGTCAAAACACGGATTACGGGATCCCAGCCCCGCAGTTTAGGGTTCAGCAGTCCTGGGGTGCAGCCCAAGAATTTGCATTTTCACAAGTTCCCAGGTGCTACTGAGACTACTGGTCCAGGGACCACATTTTGGGAACTGCTGCTTCTGGTTTTCATTTAGCACCAACCTGATTATAAAAATGGACCCATATGTGGGCACACACACAAAAAATGTATTCAATCAGATGATTGAGAATACATGTATTATCTGTACAAAAATTATTTTTTAAATTTCCACAAAGAATTCATAAGCTCCCTGTGAATAAGCACCAACACCTGGAGATCTTCAGACCCAATTTAAGAACGTTAATCCAAATAATGTGAATTGTACTGTTTTTGGTTTTCTTTAATCTGACAAATGTATCAGGCTAGAAGAGCCTTTTCCTTGTTCCCCTCCCCCCAACTACATTTAAAATAGCAAAAATCACTGAAGCTCAAAATCATATGACAAACGAGAGACAGATGACTGCTTCACCAGTCTTCCAAAGCAGTTCAAAACCTGCAATGGACGCACCAAAAGAGCTGGTTTTTCTGTTGAAATTCATCACTCCCCACCCCGCCCCTTACCTCCGCATAATCAGCCACGATGTACAGCTCCACATACTTCATGGCACTTAAATCGTCCCTTTTCATCTAGGAACAAGATAGGAGCACATTAGAGCAGTAGAAGCGGTGGACTTGGCCTCATTTCGAAAAACGACTAAGCAGTGGTGCCCATTTAATTTTGAACTTGGGCACCGGCAGCAGCCCTGCGGTGGTTGCCGCCACCCACCCTGCGCCCTGCGCCCACCACCGTGGTTATTGCCAGAAGCTGCTTGGGGACATCGGGTGCCGTCCTTAGTCTGAAAAACCAATGAGCTGAGTGGGCCAGCCAGCACAGGAAGAACAGAAGCCAATGTACTGGGACCATCAAGTTCCCCCAAATCATTGAAACGACATGCTCAGGTTGGTATGAAAAAACACAAGCATTTTGTGCATTTGGTTAAGGGGCTGTTCCCAAAAGGGAAGCATATGTTTTGTTTTGTTTTTCTCACATTTTGAAGCTTCTGAAATTAGCACTTCAGAATATTTTTAATGTAGTAATGTTTTCCCCAAAGCATTATTCTGTCAACTACAAGGGTATCCCACATTCAGCAATGACTTAGAATAAAAGAAAAAGCTATGCCCTCCTTCTTAGCCATCTCTGTTTAATTTGGAATTACTCCTGGATCCCAAGTAAGGGTCCTCACAGGGGACAAGCCTCTCGCGAGGTTGGCTCCTGCACTGAGAACTCACCCGATGAGGTCCCTTCTTGATCTGGTTTGTAAACTGAAGGCCCCAGTCCCTGGTGCCGGTGCCGGAGTGCTCAGACCCACAGCTCCCAGGAGGCAGCTTGAGATGTTCGGTTCTGTAAATGAGGTGGTGGTCCTCGCTGCCAGGGAGGGGCTCGATGACGTAGCTGAGGTTACTGTTCACCACAATCAGTCCTCTGTCAACAGGATAAATAGAATCGCTGGTCAAAGATGATGGCCCTGGAAAAGCCTCTTCCTCAGGCCTCAGTTTCCCCCTATGCGAAATGACCCAGACCCAGTTGGCTGTGCTTATTGGTTCTAAACTTTATAACGAGGTCATGCACCCTTTGTTGAGAAGCTGGTGCAAACTCAGGCTTCCTCTCCAGAGAAATGCACATGTCTGTGAAATGTGGTTCACAACTTCAGGGTACTAAAAGCTTATCACAGGGAAGCTCAAATGGTTCTAAAAAGACTGGACCTGGGACAGCTAATACTTACAAGTGATGGTAGGGCCAGGATTCCAAAAAGCCTCCCAAACCCAGACATGGCATCTGACAGATCATCAGTTGAAACTTTACAGAAGCAGAAAAAGATGGTATGGTGACCAGGGGAAGAACACTGGTGTGGGGAGACACCCAAGTTCTGGTCTTAGCTCCAACATGAAATTATCAAATGCTCTTCAAACCTCTTAAATCATTCTGAACCACCGTTTCCCCATGTGTAAATTGCAAGTGATAATTTATTAACTCACGAGGACTCTGGGGATGATTAAATGGGATGACAAGTATCACTGTCCTTGGAAACCAAAGCTGGAGACATCACTGATGGCATTATTACTAGCCCCAATGTCCCCATGTCAGAGAGGCAGCTCTTTGGTAAAGGGACATCCACAACCAAGCACGTGTGACTACTCTTTCTCTTGGTTATAGATACTAGCATTGTAGGTTCATCATATTCTTTCACTCACCAAGCCCTTACTCTGTGCTAGATGTGACTGGGACATAATCCTTGTCCTTGAGTAATTCGCAGCTCATTGGAGGTCAGACATTCATCTCATAAATATTTCCTGAGCTCCTGCCATGGGCCAGGCATTGTGCTAGTTGCTGAAGACAGAATAGCGAATAAGAGAAAGTGCCTGCCCTCATGGAGCTGGGAGTCTGAACAAGGGCTTACACTGCTAGAGTATATAACAGAGACAGCAGAAAGGTGTCATCACCCCCAACACTGACGACTGGATGCAGCTGCCTGAAAGGCTGCATCCATGAGGCGTCTGAGAGCTTCATCTGGACGCGGTGAGACAGAGAGCTGCAGCTTATCATCAATCACTATTGCAAATAATCAACGGACACGTGAGCATAGGCCCAAGTGGCAGGTATTTGCTGTCCTTGATGCAGTGAGATGAATACGAGGGAATGTATTCCCTCTGGGGGAGGAAGAAGCCCAGCAATGCGTCCCAGGGGCCCCAGCAGCATTTCACGTCTTCCAAAACTGCAGGCTCTTCTCCATCGAGAAAACTCAAAAGTTACATTATCTCCACGTCGGTCTTTGCCGCTCCACGTTGAAAGGACCTCTCTTGGCAGCTGCCTTGGCTTCCAGCCCTGCCCCTCGCTCCTCGGGACCCCCACCCCGGTTGTGCCCTTTGGGAAGAGCCTGTGATGCACGCAGGAGACGCCACGCCAGGCTTTGATCAGCAGCAGCCCTTCCTGGAACCCATCCCTGGCTGACCTCATTCTGGTGCCGGTGCCGGTGACCCTACCGGCTTCCCAGTTGCCTCGCCCAGGCTGACGCAGCAATCCCAGCGCAACCCTGGAGCAGCCTGTTGGCGGGACACCCACGGGGCTCCCTGGACAGCTGGGGGTGGAAGTGGGGTGAAGAGCAAGGGTCACATCCGCTCCTGAGTCCAGACAGGAAAGGGCACAGGGCAGAGCCGCTGCGGGCATCCTGTTTCCAAACTATCTTCTCACCTCGGCTGACCAAGGCCCTTCCCGTCACCTCAGTTTCCCCCATTGGCTACAAACTCAGCAAACACAGAGGGCTGGACCGCAAAGCAGCTAATGCTTTTGTGTGCACCAGGTTGTGGCTGCGGAGATAACAGCCAGGGAATGGAAAGTTCCACGTAGGGACTGGGGAAAGTTCCAGTGTAGCTGACTGGGCATCACTTGACTAAGCCTCTGGGCCACATGGACAGAGGCCTTGCCAAATTTTAGTACAGGGTTAACAATAATAATCATGGTGGTTATAAATGATCGAGCCTTTGCTATGGACAAGGCACTGTGCTGATATTGACACCGGCTTCCATGATCCTTACAAATACTGTCCCCGTTGTACAGATGAGAAAACTAAGGCTCGCAAGATTAACTGACCCAAGTTCACACAGGTAACAAGGACGTAAGCAGTCTGGTTCCAGGTCTCACGACCTTAACCATGACCTCACACACCTCTGTCACAATAGCCTCATAGAGTGGGTTAGAAAGATATCCTCAGTTTACAGATGGCTACAATGACAGGCACCAGCAGCCCTCCTCTGAGGTGTGACTGGCCATCACCCAGCTGGCATATCGGAAGTGAGACACTATCATTCTTATTTCAGTCCCACATCAACACTGTAAGGCACCATCATGGGTCCCGTTTTATAGATGAGGAAACTGAGCCACAGAGAGATTAAATGACAAGCGCTCACGAGTCTTTGGGCCAAAGATTTAAGGTCTGGTAGGCTCTGGACGTCATAACCTCTATGCTATCTGTCTCCATCCGTGAGTTCTAAACCTGTAGGTCAGAGATCGCTAGGGCCACAGCTCCCAGAGCCATAGAATAGAATATTCCGCAGAGCGCATGACACATACAGATGCAGGAGGCTCAGATTCTATAGGCCTGGGTGTCGGCACTACAGCTGGAAGCCCATCTGCGCAGCAGGAGCCCCCTCTTCCCCCTCTTCCCGAAGCCCCCAGCAATTCTGTTTCAGGGAGTGGGCAGATGACAAGTTGACAAACACAGGCCCAGAAGGGCACGGGACGTCCTCCCAGCAGTAGGACTCTGTGGCCCTCCCCTCACCCCCGCACTGTGGCCCGTGGCAGCTCGCCCCATGTCCCAGCCACAGTCCTCCCTGGCTGCCTGGGGGTGGGGGAGAGGCTGGCACACTCCCCCGCACTTGACAGCAAACCCCAGCTTTGACAGCAGGGTGATTTCTGAGAACCTGATTCTGGGGGCTCTCCCCCGCCACCAGCCCAAGTCCTGCTAGCTGCCCTCCTGTGAACATTCACCGGTTGTTTATGCTTCTAGCAGCCTCGGTTGATCTAATTTGCTAAATATAAGAACTGGCAGAACTTCACCATGGACATGGGGAGGGGGGCCCAGGAGACTGGGTGGCCGGGACCTCAGGAGCTATTCTCCATTCCGCTCTCCATCCTACTCCTCAGCTCTCTGGATACAAATGAAATTGTACAGAGGAACCCCGGCAGGGCGGGCCAAGCAGGCAGCAGGAGATTCAGGTTTAACCCCTGAATGACTGCACATACATCCTGCAAGGAACTAGGCAAGACTGCTTCCTGGGAATCTGTCCATTCAGAGCTAAACCCCGAGGGACACACCCTACCTCTCCCACTCCAGAGCAGGCCTCGGAGGTAATCACCCTGTTGCCTGTCCTTCCTCCCCCCAGTTTGCATCCACGTCAGAAGGAGTTACAGTCAACTCTGAAGGCGGCACAGAAGGGAGGAAAGGAGGCAGACGGGTGATGTGCGCCCGTGGGTGGCACACAGGAGAGCAAGGCCTGGGGGCAGGGCGCACTGGGTCCGAACTCCCGCTCCGCTGTCTACTCGCTCTGTGCTAAACCACCCAACAATGCTGCCCTTCTCACGGGGTCACTAGGATAATTGACGGAAGTAATAGGCAATGTTTACTAACAATCAAAGCAACATGAAAAAGAATAGCATATATTATACATCAGGGAGGGTAAAAGCATTTTATTCGATAGCCATTCAACACATAGGCATTAAGAACCTACTACATGTCAGGACTGTTCTCGGCACAGGGAATGCAGCACGATGGGAAAAAAAGTCCCTGCTCTCAAGGAGGCTGCGCTCATCACCCAGTGATGTCACTCTTGTTCCCATTGTACCAGGGAGAGAAATGGGTGCTGGAAAACTGAAGCAAGCCATCAGGTTCTGAGGCAGGAACTGTCCAACGCGAGAGCCTTCACCTGTCACAGCTTAGTGGTCCTCTCCTATCTGGGCTTACTCTGTGCCTGACACGGACAGAGGCAGCACTTACCACCCATTCTGCATAAGGAAGGCCAGGTATGCAAAGGGGAAAGGGCCTCGCCCTGCTGTGGCAAAGGGGCGTGCAGGTGTGCACTGGCTGCCTGTAGGCGGGCCTCCTTCTGTCCCAGGCACCCAGCTCCCTGAGCTTCTGCCCACTCCCTCTGCAGCGCAAGAACCCCAACGCTAAGGGGTCCTTTTAGGGGTCTGGCCTACCCTCCTTTTTCGGATGAGAGGAATCAAAGCCCAGAGGAGAAGGAGCGTGCCCAGGTCGCCTAGTGAGTTACTGTTAGGGCAGGGGGCGGAGCCAGGTTTCCTGACAAGGCTCATCACTTGTGGTGGGGCCCTGGCCCATCCCCCGAGCCCCCTCCAGGGCCTGAGCGGCCTCCTGCCCCGTGGGCACCTTCTGCAGAACTGAGCAGGGGAGTGGGGGCACCTGCACCACGACAAAGATAAGGAGAAAATGAAATCGAAGAGGAAGCTCAGAGATCACACATCCACAGGCATGTTACATGGAAAAAAATTACAGAATGGTATGTATGGGGTCATCTCATTTGGATTAAAAAAATCATATATACACACAATTATATAATTCAATTATGTATATCCCCAACAGTGAACACAGATGGGGAACGGGACCGGCTGAAAGGGCGGGCCAGGACAAAGAACTTCCACCTTTTTAGTTTTACACTTCTGCATTACTTGAATGCTTAACGCTAATTAGTTATGTAATGATAACTGTAATCGGCAGTTTCTTTAAAAATAAACTGATGAATCAGATTTTTAAAAATGTTTTTACTGCAATCAATCAATACATCTCCTGCTGACAGGGAGCAAGACACACACACACACACACACACACACACACACACACACACACACACAGAGTCTCCCACATCCCACAGGTTCCGTCAGGAACACCTCAGCCCTGTGGTGCCTAGACTTCACAAATAATCACCGCTCTTTACACTGCGACTTTGTGTTGTTGGTGTGCCAAGCACCGTGCATGTGAGACGTCCTGTAGACATTCAGAGGGTGAGCCCTTCATCGGAGACAGACTTGAGGGGAGTGGGCACCTGACACCCCTAAGGAAATGGTGTGCAACACGGTTTTGCTGCCGTGGTTTACAAGTATCCTCAGCTGCCACTCAGTTCTCAAACAGAGGTCAGCGGTCAGGGGTCCAAATACGATGACAGAGCACTGCACTGCATACACACATGCATGCTCTTTTTTGCAAGTGAGATTTCTAACGGGATACACAAGACACTGATAACAATGGCCGCCTTTGGGGAGGGGAAACTTTGTAAGTTCGGGGTAAAAGACATAGCTTTCACTGATAGTCTTGTATTATTTGAATTTTTTTTTTTTTTACTATGATCATATATTATTTCCTCAAAGCAGCATAAAGAACTGGTTTGGAGAGAGGAGGGTGCCTCACAACCATCTAGAATCTCAGCTGGATTCCTCTGTATTTATATCATCAGCCTGAGGATTCCACTTGGTATAAGTCCTACCTATTTTCTCCAATCACCAAGAGCATGTTTCCAGGAGAAACACAATTGCTAAAAAGATTTTCCATTGCAGCATCGTTTTATGAGCCTGGCGGGAAGACCTGAGTGTTACATGGGTTTGAAGGCTGCCGCTGCTGCAGCTGCTCCTTCTCCAGAGTCCGAACGGAGCCATCTGGCATGAGTCTCCTGCTCTTAAATCAGTCAAGCCCACAGACACCCTTGGTTTCTTAAGGTGTATAGTGAGATGGCTGGGAAAGTTAGGCGAGTGGACCCTATCCGAGGGAAGCATGCAAAACAGAAACACATGGGCAGTTCACCCGGTTTCCCCCTGTCAGCACGGCTGTAGGAATGATTCACAAGAGGCCAAGCCAAGTTCCCACCACTCCAGACCGAGGGGACAGAGGAAGAGGCAGGGAGATGCAAGCCACACCTGCATGTTCCCTTTCCTCCTTCTTGGGAAAGATGGTTGTTTACTTGCAGACGGCAGGTGGCCGTGGCCCGGCTTGTAAACACCACCGAGAGGCCAGTTGGCTTGGCTCAACCAAGTCATTAGAGTGGGGGATTGGAGGCCGCTGGTATGGCCTCCCATCCAAAACTTGTTTCCTGCCTAATTCCCTCTGGCCCACTCACAGCGAAGCCTTACAGAGAAGACATGGTCCAAGTCATAAACAAACATGTGGGATCTGCAGCCTTGCATTTGCATGTGAGCCTGGGTAAATATGACTGCAGCCTTGCATTTGCATGTGAGCCTGGGTAAATGTGAGCATGATTTCACTGTTATGAGATGGTATAAAATGATAATAATCATATATGCATGCCTGTAGAGTGCTGCAGAGTTAACATAATACATCTATTAACATAATATAATAGGTGCAAGGCATAAGAAGCATAATTGGTAGGTACAAAATAGACAAGGGGAGGTTAAGAATAGTGTAGGAAATGGAGACATCAAAGAGCTTATATGTATGACCTGTGGTCATGAACTAATAAGGGCAGGGGGCGCGGAGGATATTCTGGTGGGAGAGGGGAAGCAGAGCGGAGAGGGGGAAGGGGTAGAAAAAATGGGACAACTATATTAGCATAATCAATACAATATGCTTTTAAAAAAAGAAAAAGCAAAACAAATAAACTAGAAAATATCTGCTGAAAAAAAAAATTATCCTTGCTTCTCCTTTTTCTCTTTTTACTAGCTGCTCATTTCCTTTTTCAGCGCCAACAAGTACTACTCCCAGAAAGAGCAAAGGAGAAGTGGGAATAAATCCTCACGCTCATCAGTTTCAAGTATATGAACCTCATCTTTGATTCTCTATATTCTGATGCTTGGACATCGACTCCAATTTCTGGAGACAGTAAACAACTCACCAGTGAGCATGCCTTTCAAATGTGGCTTTCACCCTCTGGGCCACCAGCCCCCTGCCCTGTTCACCCCAGGTCACGTACCAGACAACGAGGAGCAGCCCTTGAGCCTGCGATCTCACTGGAATTATTTAAACTAACCAGTCCTAAGCCTTGCCTGCTCTTTCCTGCAGACACAATAAAGACTCTTGCCACATTTCCCCTCCCCCTCTGCCTCCAGACTGACCCATGGGTTTCCGGGGTGCCCCACCCCATAGGCCTCCTCCTTTTGGGATCTTGACTGAGCACAAGAAACTGCCTCTTCAATGGCAGCCGTCTCCTGCTCTGTCGGCTTCACCACAACAGGGTGACACTAGAACATCGAGTTCCTCAAGTCCCTGTCGACCCAGCCTGCCTCCGAACTGGCTTGTGTACATTCTCAGTGGACAGCTTCTCGAGGTCCCTGCCTGGGGCCAGTCCTGCTCGTCCTGAAAATCCCCTTCCTGGGGAGAGTGCCAGGTGTCCCCCGGCACTGTCAGGGCCTCTTACCTCATTCCCCGGCAGGTGCTGAGCGTGACACTGGACTGATATGCCTTCCTCACTGTCCCGTGGTAAAAGCAGTGATCCTAAGTAAGGAGAAAGGGGTGGTCAGGCCAAAGAACACTGAGAAGCACAGCAACGTTAATGTCTCATGAAGGTCACGGCTGATTGTATACCTAGTCTAACCTTAGAACCTGCTAAGAGCCTTCCAACCCTCTGTTTTATTTGGTCTTCATAATAGCCTTGGGAGATGGGACAGGCAGGTGCATCACCACCACAGAACAGGTGACGAAGCTGAGGTTCAGAGGAGCAAAGAGGTTTGCTGAAAGTCCCTTCTGCTAGTTGGAGACCCAGGATTTCAGAGCTAGATCAGAGCTTCTTCCATGACAGGATGGTGCCCAGAGGGAACACTGGCTTCTGAAGAGCCTGCCACTCCACCAGCACCTTTGTGACCCCCTGTAGGGTTGAATAGTGTCCCCTGCATAATTCATGTCTACCCAGAACCTCAGAATGTGATCTTATTTGAGATAGGATCTTTGCAGATACAATGAAGTTAAGATAAAGTCAAACCGGATTGGTGTCCTTTTAAGAAGAGGAAAGGACACAGACAGACACACACACACCCAGAGAAAGCCATGTGATAACAGAGGCAGAGATTTGAGTGCTAAATCTACAAGCCAAGGAGGGCCAAGGAGAATCAAGGATGGCCAGAGGCCATCAGGTGCTCAAAAGAGGCAAGAAAGAATTCTCCCCTAGACTACAGAGGGAACTTGGCCCTGCCAGCACCTTGGTTTCGAACTCCAGCATCCAGAACTATGAGAGAATACATTTCTCCTGTGTAAAACCTCCAAGTTCATGGTACGTTGTTACAGCAGCCCTAGGAAATGGACAGACCCCAGTACCTGCCCTGAATCTCTCTGCGTGCCTGGATCGGACTGATTTTGGCACCTAATATACATCCATGGACGCACAGAGGTCTGACGCTGCTCTCTGGTCACTGTGTCTTGGGGCCATCTGGTCCCCCCAGCCCAGCTGGACTCCTCCATGAATATAGACAGCTGTGGAGCACCACTGTGTGCCAGGCCCTGGGCTAGGCCCCAGGGACACAACAGTGAACAAGCAGACACAGCTCCAGCCTTCGTGGGGCTTATGGTCTGGTGCAAGCCAATCCTAATTAAAAAGCCATACAAAGATATAAGTACAAACCATGAAGAATGGCTTGAAATCAAGGTTGGAGATGCCAGCAGAGTGGTTTGTAAGTAGGGTAACCAAAGCATTTAGGAAGCAAACAAGGAAACCTTTGAGTGCTAACGTGTGAAACCAAACAAACAGGCACAAACCAGGACTGGCCAGGGCACAACGAGGCATGGTAACACATCCCTACAAGTTCCTTCCCAAATGGTTAAGAGAGAATAGGTGGTCAGAACAGCGGGAAGGTAAAACTCACAGGGCAGAGCCAGGTTCTGAGCAGGAGTTAAGGACATAAACTAAGAAGCTGCAGACATGGAGGTTTCTTCTTCCAACCCTAGCCCAACACCCTGAGCCTGAGCAGGGCCAAACAGAATTATCTGGCATTTGCCTACGAAACAGTCCAAGTGATCCATCAGCAGGACCATACTTGCTTGAAGATGTTCCTTGGTCCCCAGCAGGCAGCAATGTGACCTAGGAGACAGCTAACCCATTCGTTTGTGTCCTCTGGTTTCATCTCCTGCCCAGCTCTAGGCCCAAGTATCGCCTAATTAAATGGAAGCATTTTGGTATGCCCAGCCAGGGCTAAATGCAAGCTCCATACCTACCAGCCATGGAAACAGTTGCCCAACCCCTCTCTGACCTCCAGCATCTTCAGTTTCTACCTCAGGGAAGGTTGTGCAGCACACCTGGCCCAGAGTAGCCGGCCTTAAGCATTAGTGATCCTTTGTCAAATGCAGAATGTGGCTTTTAGGGAGCGGGAAGCCCACCAAAGGGCTGAATCTTTGATCTTAGCTACAGCCAGGTCACAGCAGTTGAGCTGGCACTCAATTCAAGGTCAGTCTCAGTTGCGGACTTGTCACCTGCTGATAATCTGTTGCCTCCACGGTGGCCCCTCCACCCACTCACACATTCAGGCAGGAGGAGGGACAGCCACCAGCCCCTCTTTCCACACCAAACCCTCCTGGACTTGAAACAACATGTCGGATCCCGACCTTTAGCAGGGCACAAAAGAAAGCCACTGTGCCAGGGGCAATCCTGCAGCACTAGTGAAAGAAAGGAAGTGGGCACAATGCTCCTTCCAGCCAGAATTCCATCTGTTTAAATGCCAGTCTGTGGCATGACTTCTTCACCTACCCTAGGCTCTGGGACCTGGAGCCACATTGCCAAGCATTCAAGTTCTAAACCTGATCCTTAGAATTCGGCAACAATGCCATGAACTCCAAAACCCAAGATCATTCAGAGATGGAAGCGGGGGGCCAGGCCTGTGTGGAATGTATGGGGCTCATAGATATTGGAATGACAGAGAGTCAAGAGGTTCAGAAATATGGGTCAGTTTTGAAAATCCTGGTATCTCTACAAATAAGAATTCAGAGCCGGGGATGGGTGTGAAGAATCCTTGTACCTCTTCCCATCTTTGGACTGATGCTAACAGGGCCCACTCCCTGGGCGCTCTCTGAAATAGCATCACAACGGACTTTTGTAACATGTCCTTAAATTTCCAAAGGGCTTTCACACACACCCTCACATGGATAATAATAACATCTGCCACTTGGTGTTCGTAACAACAAGAGCTAACATCTTTCCAGCTTCTACTACTGGATAAACAACTTACACAGATTTTTTTAAAAATTCTGACCAAAGCCTTAGGAGGTATGTATTATTATTCCCATTTTTAAAAAGGGAAAAACTAAAGGTTGGAGAGATTTTATCCAGTGGAGATTCAAACTCCAGCAGCCTATCAGACCCACGCTCAGCCTCTCCCAGGAAAAGCAGACCCAGCAAAGCACATACAGATTCATTTGTCAAAACTATTCTCTTCTTCCACTAATAGAGATTTTACTTCTGGTCTCTAAGCCTTGCCATTTGCTGGTTATCTGAACTTAAGCATGTTACTTTTTTCTCTTCTCTCAAGTTCCTCATCTGTAACATGTGGCATTGCAAGAGATGTTTATAAATTCCCATAAAATCAGTGATTCATCTTATTCTTCCATAGCCCTGAGAATCAGATCTTAACATGTCCAATTTTCAGAAGACGAAATTCAATACGAGTGTAGTCAAAAGGGTTGTTTAAGGTCAAAGAGCTGAAGCCAAGCTCTGGCTTCAGACCCCAAACTCTGCAACTCATAGTTCTACTGGGACACATTCATAGGCCCCTCCCCCAGCGATCTGACTGAGATTAGGGCTGAAGCCTACTGCCCCTTCCAAAGCATTTGATAAGTTTCCCAGAACCCCCGCTGCCCCAGGCCAAGTTTGGTCTTAGAACATGGTCCTCAACACCAGGGTCAAGTGCAGCTAAATGGTTTATTCCATTCCCGTGTCTCTTTAAGTCTTCAGCGCCCAAAGAAGAAAGAACTAAGAGCTCCACGGGGATGGGTGGGGGCTGTGCTGTCCAGGAGCAGGGATGTAAGGAAACAATGGCCTGTACCACGCTTGGATCAGCAAGACCTTCGGGAAGGGGGGCATTCTGGAAATGCGGGGAAGGTCTCTCCCACTCCTCTGTGTCTGAAGGGCCTTTACAACATCTCTGCCTAACTCTGAGAGCACAAAGAACAAGGAAATGAACAGTCATGAAGTCACCGCATTCCTGCTCAGCTCCTTGGCCTGCGGGAGCCACCCCGAGGGGGCTTCCCCAGCAGGAAGCATGAGCTCATGGCAAATTTGGGCACTGAGACCCACTCTTGAGCTGCTGGTATGTCAATGCAGGAACCGGACTCCGAGGAGGGTGCTTCGTGAGGCGGTCATGGCTGAGGCTTTCGAGGCGGGCCTGTCTGCTCCTCTCCTCCCCAGAGGCAGAGAACAGAAAACTCAACGAAGAAGGAGGTTTTGACCGAGGGGCACTGAAGAAGGTGTGTGGACACACTACAGCTGGACAGCCCGCCCAGAGATGGAAAAACACAGCTGAATCACCTGCTACGGGCACGTAGCTACCTTACATCCTGCCCTTCAAGGGTAATCTGATTGAGTAATCTGAGTTGGTAAGGACGGACAGTGGCTGTCATTGCCTTCTAGGCAGTCATGCCCAGGCAGGGAGATTTGAAAGAACAGGCCATGAGGGAGACTTAGATTCCATGGGAAGCCTCCACGAGAGGAGCCTGGGGCCCCGGGGCCTGTCACGCTCTCTTCACACCACCCCTCCCACAGGTACCCACCACTCAAGTCCATTAGGTCCTGCCCCAGACGCTCCTACCAGAGCCCATCTCCCCTTCTCCTTCTGCCCGACGCATCAGCCCAGAGTCTGAGAGGGGTCACTGCAATGCAGAGTGTCTCAGCTTGGGCACCAGTGATACTTGGGGCCAGATAATTCTCTGTGTGGACATTGTCCCGCGCACTGTAGGTGAGCAGCATCCCTGGCCTCTACCTTCTGGTGCCAAGAGCATTCATCTCTCAGTCATGACGATCAAAACTATCTCTGGACATTGCCGAGGGTTCCTTCCTTCACTGGTTAAAATGGTCAAACATACGAATAAAATATTTTAGGGTAACCGTATTGGATTAAAATTGGTGTACATCATTGTGAAGCATAGTTTCTTTGCTTCACGTTAGTTACCCGCATATTGACAAAAGTTTAAGTAAATGAATGATTTAAAACAAAATCACTGCTGGTTGAGAACCAAGGCTCTGAGGCTATGATTCTAATGGGTCCCCTGGTAGGAAACACTGGCAAAGCATGAAACGGGTATGATTCAGTACCTTCAACGTCCACCAGTGGGGTGTGGTGAAACCAACTAAAATGTATCTATCTGAAAGACCACTTTTTTAAACGACAAGTTCTTTGTGGAAACATCCGTACTCAAAAACTACTTCGAGGGGGAAAAAAAAATCCAATATGGAGATAGCAGCAAAATAAGAAAATGTTCATAACCTAGGATCACATTAAAAAGGCAGACTACAAAACTTGACAGATCCATATGAGAAAGGAGCGCTTAGACACCCAATTGGACGAGACACATCTGATTGGGTGAGAGGACGGGATTATCAGTAAACCACTCCTTTTGCTCCAACTTCTGTGAATATGTGAGTAATTAACATAGCAAAGAAAGTGTACCTTTCACAGTGATTTATACCAATTTTAATCAGATGCAATTATTGTAACATATTTTTTGTTTGACCATTTTAGCCAGCAAAGGAATCACTTAGGAAACAACAAACTTATACTTGGCTTCTCTTCCTGTCTCCCTTGGTCTTCAGTCCACAGAGACAAACCCTTTGGAAGAAAAACCATCTCCACCGGGTCCCGCCATCTCCTCACTTCCCAGGGGTGGGGTCGAGGGGGCAGCTGCTCTGTAGCTATTTGCTGTCCTGGACTTACCTCGGATTTCAGCGTGGTGGTCTGAGGGTTGCCACTGGGAGTATACTGGGTTTCTGTGTAGGCTGGAGCAAAAAGGTACCTGCAAAGAATGAGACCAGATACTTGTCACCTGAAGTGACAGACTCCATCCTCCTGAGAACTATGGCTAGTCACTCTAACTGAAGCAAGTGGAACCACCCCAAGCATGTCTGTGCAGAAGAAACAGGGCGGCCAGCAGGGCCTAAGAAACAAAAAGAAAACCAGGAGGGGGTCTGCTATGACTTTTGTAATTGTGGGGATCATCATTCAGTTCAGGCAACCAGGTGGAGCCAACAGAATGAAAGCAGTGGCCTTAAAATTTTTCTAGGTCTTGGGAACACACACAGGCAAACGCATACTCAAAATGCACCTGGATTGATTTTTCTACCACCGCATCCACCAGCTTTTAGTATTAGCGCACCAACTTTCACTGAAGAGAATACCTCTCGCCTATTGCATGTTTTGGTGAGCCTGTCAATCAAGGTGTCGTCCCTGGCCCTGGCCAAGGGTGACCATGATCCCAGCTAAGCGAATGGAATAATGTCGCAAGAGATGGACAGAAGGGAGCAATTCAGCTGTTCCTTTGCTCCTGTTGCACAGGTTCCTGCAGCTGCCTCGGCCTGTCCTTTCTGAGACCTAGTGATTCCGATTTCCTGAGACCTGGTACTTTTGTGTGTTACCCTACCAATATATTATTTTCCTTTCTAAAATTGGACATTGGTTTTTCTTTTGCCACAGATCACTTGAAGCTGAGGTTAAGGATCCCTTACCAAAGGAAAGGCGACACCAAACAAGGTTCCTACAATTTCTCTAAAAGTCGGGGGGTGGGGGAAGCAGCTCTCTCTAGGGAGCACACCCCCAACTTTGCCCACTCCTACCCCACGGGTGCATCTTTTTCTTGCCTCTCTCTTCCTCCTCAGCTCCAAGGGCTCCTCTCTCTGGCCTCTGTGACTTGCTTCCTGAGCCCATTTCTTCTACAGCTCACATTTTCTACCTTTGTGACTTCCTAAATAAACTTTCTCTTATAAAAAACACAAAAATAAAAGTAAAATAAAAGCCAAACGGATGCTCCAGCTAGCTCAGCCACATTGAAAAGAGAATGAGTCTTTAGAAAGTCAAGGTCAGGGGGCAAAAGGGTTTGTAATGGAAGACAAATTGGAGTCTAAAAGAAGAAAGAAAAAGAATTAAGTGGATCTATATGTACTGACTGGAAAGAATGTCCAAAATTGAGTTAGATAAAAAATAAATTTTAGGAAAGTATGCATTTTAATAATCCCTTTTAATGAAAAATAATAATAGTACACCCAAGTGTATGCATTGAAAACAACTCGGGGAGCAAACGCCCATTGTTAACAGTAATTATCTCAGGGGGCTAAAGAAAATGTTTACAATGTCAGTTGCCTATTTCTGAAAATTGGTTGATTTTTAAAAATAATGCTCATGCATTCATTCTGAAAACCAAAAACCTAGTTTGAAACTGCTTTTAAGAAGAAGAAAATAGAGGCGGAGGCCAGAGCGGAAAGCCAAAGGGATCCGCAGGGGCCACCCCGATTGTGGAAGAGGGCACATTTCCCAGAAAGGCAGGGTCCTTGAAGAGAGTCTCTCGAGTCACTCTAGAGTCACTTCCAGCTCTGAGTTCTGGGACTCCTGACTCTCAGATGCCCCGCCGCCCCTAGAGTGCAGTCAGAAGGCAAATGCCACGAGAATATCTCTTGTACTATGTGAAGCCCTTCAACACCCAGCCTTGGACAAGGCTGGGAAATGTAAAAATAAAGCAAAGCCCAAACACCAGCATGTGCAGAGAATCTCTTATGACATGGAAACTTTGGGTCGAGTTAACTTCCCGGAGCCTGTCCCCCAGCCCTTTCTCTCTCTCCCGAGTATCTAAGCAGCCAAGGACCTAGGGGAGGAGGAGTTACCCATCTGTCTGGGGACATACACTGCGGGATCCATGAGGACAGAGGCCAAGCTACTTTGCTCACCAGTATATATCAGTGTTTAACATTTACTCGATGAAAGAATGACTTAACTAATTATTGAATGAAGAAATGGAAATAAAGGAATAGGTGAGTGAGTCGTTCAGCATGCTAGGAGCTTGGAACATGGTCAGGAGTCTGAGAGACTGAAGTTCAATGTCAGCTCTGACATTGACTGTTTCTATGGCCATGAGTGAGTTACTTTATCCCTCTGGATATTTTCTCTTCTCCAAAAACAAAGACAGTATCCTGACTTGATAGGGTGTTCAAGAGAGTAAAATGACAAAAACGCATGAGAAGGGCTTAACCCCAGGTCGGGGCAGAGCGGAGCTCAGTAACGGTTAGTGATTATCATCATTTTCAAAGGGAAGTATGATGGAAGAACCCGGCACAACGCATGGAATTTACCTATTTCCCTCTAAATCTCCCCAGCAGGAACTTTCCAGGGTATCACACTTGGGAGTGGTGGAGAAGCAGTTAGCTCATTCCTGCAGCCCCACTTCCTGGGTCTGATTTCAGAGACTGCATAATGGGCAGGGGTTCAGAGTTTAATGGTCCATCCGGGTGCCAATGGATGTAAATTTTCCCACAGAAAGGACATTCTTGGCTTCTTCTTAGCCTTAGGGGGAGAAATTATTCATCCAGTGACATTAAGATGCTCCAAAGAAAGCCATCCAGACTGAACCTCACAGGTGTCCACATTCTTGTCAGTCCTCAGCCAGCCACTCGTCCTCAGAAGGGTACGCATCTTTCTGCATTTTCTCATTCTGAGGATCTGCCCGCATCACCATAGGACTCTTAGAGCCTCAGCATTAATAGGGACTTCAGGGAATCATAGCCAAACTCACTAGACTACAGGCTCCCTAAAGGCAAGAGGCATGGCTGCCTTGTTCAAGGCGTCCCCCCAGCTGCCAGCCCCTGCCAGGCAGGCAGCACATGTTTATTCGATGAATAAGTGGATGAATAAATAAGTGAGTAAGTTATTTCACCTTCAGAACACAGCTCTGAGGAAGGTACTAATCCTTGCCCCATTTTGTGACTGAGGACACCAGGAACTCAGACGTGTGACTGTCCCAGCTCATGTGAGATGGACATGTGAGAATAACAGAGCTAATTTCTGGTTTGTTTGTCTGTTTGTCTGTTTGTTTGTTTTCGACATATCAACCATTTCCCCAAATGAGGCTGCAGATGTTGGCCAAGAAGGTCCTTCTCTCTTGAACAAAAGGAAGGGTCATGTTTCATCACCACCATCTGTGCAATTTTACTGGTAGACAAAACACGGCTTTCAAATGCTCCCCGCTGCCCCAAGCTGGGCCCATCTGCGATGCCCACGTGGCGCCCTGGCGCTGCTCTCAGGACCAAGGATACTGCTGTCCCCTCACAGAGGGGCTACTGGGCAGCCCAGCTTGGCCCATCCGCCCCTTCTCTGACCACATCTTGTTCTCGTCTCCTCCCTGACAAGGAGCTGGCTCAGCAGATCAGCAGGAAGCCGGCTCTCACCACTGGAGTGCGTTAGGATTTTCAGGAAACGACTTGTGAGTGATGTGAGTCCAGAAAGAGAGAAGGACTAGCCACGATTTCCCACCCCGCCCCCTCCTTTTTCTGGCTTTGATGGAAAAGTAGTTTCTGTGTGCCCTCCTGCCCTCTGAAAGAGCCTCCTGCCCCTCCCTCGGGGCTCCCAAGCCCACAGGCGGGCTGTGTCCGTATCCCGTCCCAGTGCTAATACCACAGCAGCCAGCACCGGAATGTCCACTTGGGCAAAACCCAGGTTGCCCAGCCCCCAAAGTCCTTGGGCAAATCTTGCATCTTCTGAATCCCGCCTCGGAAAATAAGCCCCCAAGGACCAGGCATGAGACATAAGGTTGCTCTCCAGAGAAGGACAATCAAATTGCCCGTGACAGCCTGGATCCTGTGGGTGCACTCAGCGAGGGCCCGAAGGCACACTGCAGTCCGAATCAGCCCTGACCCACCCTTCCTAAGGCCTGAGGCCTTCCAACCCAGCACCACCCCTGGAAGGACCCTTTACTGTCAGGTAAATCTGAACTGCTTCTCTAAGCTTCAACTCCAGGCAAAGTTGCAAAACACCTCTGAGGTCAACCGTTCTTCCTGTTGCTTCAGGTAAGCACATCGGCGCAGACGCGCTCAGCAGATACAAGCATTACTCCACTCGTCCCAGGGGTTATTTCTATTGACACCTCCTTCCTGCAGCTCTTGGTCCATCCTGCTCTTTCAAGAGCATCCAGGCACCAAGAAACTGGGAATACTTCGGAGGTGCAGCCTTGTTGGTCCCTCTTATTTGCCCCAGAGGATCTTCGCCCTGCCTGCCTGTGTTGGTGATGGCTTGAGCCTCTTTCATTTCTTGCTCATACTCTTAATGCCATCATTATGGGACTTCGCTCAGTCACCACTACATCCTGAAAGGCTGTGAAAAAATATCAAATCTCAGGTCCCACTGCAGACCCACTGAGAATCCTTTTTTCTAGAGAAGGACTCAGAAATGTGGATTTTTTCAGTTTTTCCAGGTGATAACTTGTTTCAGGCTCTGAAAATGCTCCTGCTCCATTGGATCAATTTTAACATTTTAAATACTTTCCCCCACTTCTAGCCTCCCAACACCTGAAAACGATACCAGTGTAAGATAGAGGGAAAGTCTAGGGCTCAGAAAGCTTTGTTTTGAGCACCATCCACAGCTACTCTCCAGATACCTGTCCTTTCAAACCCAGGAAATGAGTCAAGAGTTGCCTGAGGTCTCTTTAAATGTCATACAGGGCAGGTCACAGGCGCCAGGAGGCCAGTTTAAGGTTCTTTGGAAAAGGCGATAGGGCGGCCCTTGTGTACAGCCTTGTAGAAATAGAATGTAATTTGTAAAAACCTAATAAGATAAAACAGAGATGCAAATGATTTCTACCCAGTAAAAGGGAGAACTCCAAAGGTTATGCAGGGCTTTGTTGCCCCTAGGATATTAATTATCAAGTTGTGTATCTAACTTAGTCATCTAACTCAACATTCCCTTTTTCCAATTTTAAACTAGTTTGGTCATCCTAATGGCTCCCCCGTTTGTCAGTGGATAAAGCTGATAAGTGCG